TACAGCACCGGTTACAATTATCAGCTCTTTACCTCAAAACCAGTAGTAGACAACTGTATGTGGCAACACTATGATCGTGTCAAATTCAAAAATCCAGCTGTCAATTGAAGTTGACAGAGAATAATGTGATTTCCGAGGGTATACAAATCACAAGTTATGACAGGTGTGCATCATTGCCAAAAGGGGGTAGAAAAACAGGCACTTATCTTGATTAATTCCTCTGGTTCTAGCTGCGGAACAATCTTGTCTACACTGTTGCAGATAAATCCAATGTCGAACTTCACTTTGCAATGAGTTTTTGTACAAAACAGCTGATAATTTCAAAAGTTTTAAGTTTATTATGCAGAGAGATGTACGCTTAGTTAGGGCAGAGTTGTCAGTGTATTTCAACTTAAATTCCTAAATAAACTAAGTAAACTGCGTCTCAAACTCAAAATCAATTCGATATTATTATTATTTTTAATACGAATGATACGATAGGGAACGGGTGACCTTGCATCCAGGCTGCCAGGTCATGTCAGACTCTTACTGACTAAAACTCACTCGTAGTTCTTGCTTATACGCAGAAGTGAATTACAAGCTTAATCTGAAGCAATAAACCCCTGAGAAGAGGATGATGCGGTATAACCGCCGATCTTTTCAAGTGTTTATGTACTTTTTATAAAAACGAAACGTTAGCGTGACTCAAAAGCCGTTGTAGGGTACCAACGTACCCGCGGTAGCGTTGTGAAACTAATGATATTATATTGTGGTTTTTAAATACTTTTCTTTTTATTTTGTTGTAATGCAAGATTTTTTCTACAATAACTTCATCTATGTCACTATTAATGTTTTCTTCTAAGGATTTTTCAATAGGTAAGAAATTTTCTTTAACCAAAGTCGATGACAAAGAACGACTGTTACTCTTAAACTAACAAATCTATGTTAACCGTTATAGTTTTCCTTAAAAAATCATGAAAAGCACTATTATTTAAAAAAAACAGGTTTTTAAGTCAATAGTTTAACTTTTAGTGGGGAACACCCTACTCGAACAAAAATTATCGCTTTAAAAATCGAAATAAGTTTAGCAAACCCGATGTAATTTTAAAGGATATCTTCAACAATATCCCACACAACGGGGTAGATGACAAAAAAAACCAGCCTCAGGTTACATATAGGGGAGCTACACTAATTTTTGAAGTGAAACTTCTTTATCGGCGTTGGAAAAAAATTTACCGTCACATTTTTCGGTTACGCGTCACATTTTTCCGTTACGCGCCATCTTTTTTTATATTAATAGTTGATAGCTGAATGATCACACTGTCGCCGGCGAGAACTCTCTCTACTCGTTTGTAGCTGAGTGACAATAGTTATTAAAGATAAGACTCGCTCAGCGATACTCGCTCAGCGATACTCGCCCAGCGATACTCGCTCAGCGATACTCGCCCAGCGATACTCGCTCAGCGATACTCGCTCAGCTATACTCGCTCGGTTAAGCTGGCTTGGCTGTCAAAAGCCGTGCGCGTGCATTTTAACTCAGGACTGCCAATTCGTTTCTAGTTTCTACTCGCTTATCGTTCATCGTCGGAGGTGGAACATGTGCCTTAGATTACTGAGCCGTGTAATCATAACAGTTTCATAGGCAGTAATTTGTATTCATGCCTATGATAATAAAATCCTTTTGTTTAAACTTTATCTAATTTAACTTTATTTAACCAATTTCTGGAAAGTTGCATGTAGATCATTTTTCGAAAAATAAGGCCATAAAGAAGTTTCACTTCTTACGTGTGTACACTAGTACACGCACACATTTTTTTTTATAAATTGTATTTTATCATTTTGTCGGCGTGATCGATATACATATCTCTACAAAATTACAGCTTTCTAGTGCGTATAGTCTCCAAGCAAAACCGGGGGCGGACAGACGGACATGAATAAACTATAAGGGTCTCTGTCAGGACTACGGAACCCTAAAATAGTTTTTATTTGAGAATTTTGTACCAAGCCACTCAGAAAGTTTTGTGAAAAAAAGTTTTTATGTATAAGACACTGGCCACTTATAATTATTTTTAAAGGAGACCCGGCACTTTTCATACAAAAAATGCTAAACTTGTATACAGTTGAATTTGGTCTCAAAATAAAGCCAAAATTATTTGCTACATAAAACTACTTTTGCCTTATTTTTAGTGAATCGTGGAAAGAAGTTATATAATGATTAATATTTTTTGATATGGAAACCCTAAATATTCAAGGGACAGAATTTTACTTCAAAATATTACTCAAGTGACTGTAAAATCCATGATTCCTTTGCTTTTTCTAAATAAAAAACCAAATGTCAATTTGACAATCCTAAAATACAAACAAAAAAATCATTCGCATTTCGCATCCGCTCCCGCGTACTGTGATTGTGAATGTTCTCTGCTGTGATTGCCTTTTTATCCGTTATTTCTCTTGACGACCCGGCTACATGTAGAGGTTATATTGACAAACCTACGTATTTGACATTGACAGCTAGCTGATGACAAATATTGCCAGCTTACGTTACCCAATTATGAAACACAGATAAAAAAAAATAAAAAAGTATACAACTTTGGCACAAAATGATCTACATGCAACTTTCCAGAAATTGGTTAAATAAAGTTAAATTAGATAAAGTTTAAACAAAAGGATTTTATTATCATAGGCATGAATACAAATTACTGCCTATGAAACTGTTATGATTACACGGCTCAGTAATCTAAGGCACATGTTCCACCTCCGACGATGAACGATAAGCGAGTAGAAACTAGAAACGAATTGGCAGTCCTGAGTTAAAATGCACGCGCACGGCTTTTGACAGCCAAGCCAGCTTAACCGAACGAGTATAGCTGAGCGAGTATCGCTGAGCTAGTATCGCTGAGCGAGTATCGCTGGGCGAGTATCGCTGAGCGATAAAACCTGATGAGTCATTTGATCGATTTTGAACTGTTTTTTTTGGATGAAGGACCTTCAAAAGTAACCATCTACCGCTGGTGAGCTAGCGAGTTCAAACGCGATCATCTTACTTTGGGGGATGAACGAAGGAGTGGTCATCCTACAACAGCTGTCATCGAAGAAATTGTGCTGGCAGTAAAAAAAAATATTCAAGAAAACAGACGAATTACGTACGAAGAGATTCAGCATACTCTACAGATTGGTTCAGCAAGTGTTCACAAGATTTTGCACGAGCACCTTTGCGTAAGGAGGATAGTTTCCTCCTGGGTGCCGCAGAACCTCACCGAAGCTCAGACGCAGGCTCGTGTGGATTAGTACAGTGATATGATACAAAAATTTTATGCAGGCTCGTCACGGTGCGTTTACGATATTGTGACAGGTGACGAATCCTGGATTTATCAAAACTATCCAGAAACAAAGCGTCAGTGGACGGTTTGGCTGTTGCAAAATGAACCAACGCCTACGAAAGTGAAGCGATCCAGAAGCGCAGGGAAAATTTTGATCGCTAGTTTCTTAACTTTGACGGGGTGCCTAATTTCAATTCCATTTCGAGAACAACAACACAGCACAATCGTAATCGTAAAATGTATCGTTTTTTATACAGGTACAATCCGATGATGGTAATGGTACAAACAGGAAAACTTTATGGGCTGTCAATTTAATGAGTAGTCTTTTTATTTTATTTGCAGACGCAGATACGAGTTGTTATACTATAATAACGGATGTTTGTGATAAAAAATATGATAACTATTGCTAATAGTATAATTATATCAATTTGCAAGACAATGAGCTTGATGTGCGAACACACATAGCTTGTTTTATCAAGGTCGCTATTAATTACTGGATCAAATCGCGAAAACCATTTTAAGACACTAACGTATATTCTTAATTAGAATTCGGTCAGTTTAAGATCATTTTATATTTTGGACATCATGGATAGCTTATGTTTTGTTTTTCTGTGCAAATGTTACCCTGATTTTGACGAAATAGTGTTGATGTTATTATAATATATGAGACCTTTCAAAGTATCTCAAAACATTGTAGAAAAGTATAGCAATGTCTGTTTTACTTTGATTCCATTTAGCATGTTATAGGTCTTAGGCGGACTAATTCTCTAAATGTTACACTCAAAGTGATTAGTCTTGATATCATGTTTAATGTCTTTCTAATGTACAAAATATTACAAAGTAAATCATTAAAGTAGAATTGATCGCTCTACCTTGACATTATACTTGATAGAGTAATAAATAATGATTTGTATGTATTGATCAATATTACTTTCTATAGAGAACTGTTATAAAGTCTTTAACTTTAAGAACCTTCCACAAAGTATTTGAAAAAGGTGAATTAATTAAATCGATAAAGTCCCAAAAACCAAGGGAAAAAATTACCTCTAATAGGGATATGACTATCTCGTCTATCAGGTAGTTTAACTAAAATTATTGGATTCGTATCTTTTCTTTTTTCAATATAAACACTACAAAGATGTTTTCAATATAGGTCAAAAGGCTGGCAGCTATCTTGGTCAACGGATCAGCTTTGCTATCTAACGTGGCAAAGCTGCCAGCCTACTGGTCACCATTCCTGACGGCGACGCTGGCGGTGACATATTTTTTATTTTGAAAATTATTTATATAGGTAGGTAAGTAGGTAAAGGTATATATTTCTAAGTAGTTTTTAAGTTTTTGTTATTTAAATGTTTTAAAATTATGTATAGATATAACATTGATTTGAAATGTCGCATAATGTCACTTATAATGTCTTTATACCATTTTCACTTAGAAGTAACGTCACGAGCCCCCAATCCCAAACTGTAACCGCGACTTAATGTTGTATTTTTTTTTATTTGACGTAATAATACCTGTGTCCCTTTTTTCATAAACCTCACTGCCTGACTGAATAGAATTGAGTTCACCCCCTCATCGTCCCATTGCAGTTTCAAACACTAACACACCTATTGTTTTTGCAAATATCAATTGACTTTATTATATTTATTTCTCTCACTGCATGTTTTGGAAAAAAATAAATATTTAAGAAATATAACTTACTGAAATCCTTTTTAACGAAGTGATCCTGTTTCTTCAACCACAATTCGAGAATATCGATCGCTTTATCTATCACTCCCGGCTTATCCAACTCGTATGTGTTCCTTATAACTCGTAACGTATCTTTGGGAAATTCAAGTATTGCATCTTCTTTCAAAACCTCCATTGTTTTTCAATCGGTAATGCAAGAAGTGGATATCTATTCAGCATAAAGTTAAGTTAAAGCGCACGTCTGATTTCTGTGTGTTGTGATACACTTATAAATTGATCGTAAGAAATATAAGGTATTACGTATAAACCGGTTTGTAGAAGGAGCAAAAACTTTATTAGGCCTTGTTTGCGGATAATCCATAAAATAAATAAATAATTGAAGGTTACTAACTAAACACCTTAATGTTATTTATGCTAATATGATATTGAATTGTGTTTGTAAATTTAAATAATTATGCAAATTAATACGTTGGAATGAAGTAAAATTTTCTTATGTATATACATACCTACCTAAAATTTTATGTAAACTTGACGGATTTGTTTCTTAGGTTTTCACGCACATCACTCATTAAATTAAACAAGTTTCAACGGGTTAGATGCATGCGTCATGACACGTGGGGTGATAAAAGTTTAAAAGTTTTGTGAATTAGAGTAGGCTTAGAGAATTTAAATGTCAAACTATTTTCGGACGAACGAATTTTCGAAATGAAATAGAATCAGAGTAAGGAACGTGCGAAATTTCGATCGAAATAGAGTAGGCCTCCTGGACGTCCTAGATAGAGACTTATTATTATAATACGATAAAATAAAACATAACTATGTTTCGTCCAATATATTGAAAGTCAACAACCTTCCCAATTTTATTATTTTCGTCTTACGATCAAGACACGTGGCCTGATCGCATCCGGACACCTGACAATCGAAAATTCGTAAGACGCAAACAATAAAATTGGGAAGGTTGTTGACTTTCAATATATTGAACGAATCATAGTAATATTTTATTTTATTGTATTATATTAATAAGTCTATATCTAGGATGTCCAGGTGGCAGATTTATTGCGAAGAAAATGCATTTTTTTTACAATAGATGTCGCTAGGTGCGCTTAAATGAGAAATTCTGAGAGATAAATGTAATATAAATTGTCATGTTTGTGTACGATAGCGCAATATATAAATATTGTATTCTGCCACATAAATGATAGTACTTTTATACTGATAATTAAAGAAATTTAAAAATTAGTTAGCAAAATTAGTCCCTTACCATTCCAAAATTTAAAAAAAATGCACAACGTTAATATTCAAGTTTTCACTTCTGCCAGCACTCCAGGAGTGCAACCCGTCATTTTTTTTATTTACTTTGTCGAGCTACCTTCGAAAGACTTTTATTAACCCTTCTAATATTTCATTGAAAGATTTTTAAATTTTTATTGCCTATGATTGAATTTATTAGCTAATTTAATTAATAAAGTACTTTATTTAATTATTTTATATAATTTTGAGTTTATATATTTGACCCTAACTACCGTTAACTACCGTTAACTACCACCGGTTCCAAAATTGGAGACCTTTCTGAGAAGAACCGGCAAAATAAAGTCAGAAATGCTTTCTATCTCTTTCTTATGTAAAATCATGCAAACAAAAATAACTAATAGTATCTGTTGGTCTTACAGTGTGCGCTCGGGGTTCAAGAACTTCTTGATTGGGACACATTTTGAGCGCTCGTGGTGTATCTAGGGTATTTAATATCGTTGATAAAACCTAGCTCTCGTCATAATAAATAGTCAAAATTAGTCAAATTCTTAAATTAGAAGTGAAATTACAACATCAAATTAGTTTTTACCAACTTTATAGTACTCCAATCCTAAGTATATAATACTGTGTTCAGAGCACCCTTTAACCTAGTAAATTAACTGCTAGTTAGGTAATTGGCTGTTTTCTCCCCAGGAGATTTTTTATTTTGGATGAGAATCAACCTTTTCGAGCGAGCATCGAGTCCCGGACGGATCTAGTGGCAAGTGCTCTCTCAGGATCGTACTTTCCCATTATTTATTTGTTTATATTTTAGGTGACAATTAACCCTTTCGCGCGAGAATCGTGACCCGGACGGATTCAATGGCGAGTGCTCTCTCAGGACGTTAATTACCTATTATTCAATTGTGAATCTCTGGAGACCACCGAAATTGTGAACTATATAGATTCAAACGTAGCTAACGTAACCTTATGTATAAATAAATTTAAGCCTAGCTTTGTTAACATTAACTCATGATTGGACTATTTAAGTTACTACACACATCACTCAAACCCGGACCAGAAATCGTCACGAACCCTCTCTTCTTTTATTTGTACATATATGGGGAAAATAAACTTAGTAACATAATTTGTTTTGTAAAAAGAATCTTTTGATTTAAATACCTGGCGTTGATCGATTAAAAATAAAAACTAAATCTGCAAAGATGTTTCCTTTAACCTCAGATTTTCAAGGTTACACTACGGCGCTGAATCCAGCTAATAATCTATCTGTGTGTCAAATTTTCGATTTGGTTTTTGTGTGATTGAGTATTTAACATTTACGTATCCAAAATTTCATGCTAGTTTGAATATTAAATTAGTAGGATCCACTCATTTTACCGTGACTTGTCTATATGTTCATAGCATAAGCCATTTACACTTTGCAGGCTACACCCGCCAAGTTTAAGTAAATCAAGGTTCATCGGGTGCTCTCTGAAACAAAGAACTCTTTGCACGGGGTGTCTGTGACAAACAACACCTGGCAGCTGAACTTCAGCATGTTGAGCGAATACGGAAGGATAATAATCTGAATGTACCACGTCGCGTCGCCGTCTTAATCGCTCCAAACCAAGCACAGTGGACCGACAACCTGCTGTACAACCTTACATGAAAGGAGTCACTGACAAGAGATTGGGAGTTTTAATAGGCCGATGATGCCCGAGCATAGTTCGGCTGTTAACGGATTAGGTGTATATTCCGATACACCTTCTTATACATAACTAGCAAACCAGGCGAACTCCGTTTCGCCATCAGATGGCTTCGTTTTATGTAACATTTCGTTTGGTGATTAAAAGAAGATTTTTTTTTGAAATTTTTCCTGAATTTTCTTTGCTATAAACCTCACGGAGCCCGAGACCTTTCCAACGAATGCAAAACCGTGGAAATCGGTTCGTGCGTTCTGGAGTTATAGCGTCAGGAAGGAAAACCCGACTTATTTTTATATAGTAGAATAGGGTATTTGACAAGTTTTAGGCAACGATCTCACGTTATTGACTAATGTTTATAGAGTCCGTAAAAAGTGGATATTCATCATTCTGTTGTGTATTTCAGTAAAAATAACTAAATCAAAAACTCCATTTCCAAGGTGCCGCAAAAACGTTTCTCTGGACAATATGGCGTTTTACTAGTGTGTGACGTCATACGACTGTTATTAAAACGTCAAACCATACAATGTAATGTCACTCTAACAGGAAGTTTACTTGCGTGTGACGTCATTTTAGGCTCCGCCGATCCGTTTTGGGCCACGTGACAATAGAAAATGCCAATATTCAATCTTAACACAGATGCTAATAATTGGCACTATATATTTAATACTGTCAAATACCCTATTATATTTGATTTGATCGGCCGTGTTTGGCCAATGGCGGCTGATACACTTAATCCATTATCGGACCGATGCGATGGCCGCCCGAATTCATACATACACGTTTGATTCAAAGTTCCAGCCCACGCGGTAGAAGTAACGAGTGGAACGCTAATACCTAAATATAAATATAATAAAATCTTCAATTGTTGCAATTTTATCTTTCGATTGGCTGATACTTGTGTAGGCATCTCATTATACATTATAATTAACCTACTCTGTGATGAGGTGGTGTTGTCTTGCAGCCTAAATCATACTTGAAGAAATTCATTACAGTAGGTAAACATTCAGCGGGATTCGAACCCGGGACCTCTCGAGGCGACACCTTGAAACCCGGCGTACAAACCCCTCGATCACGGAGGTCGTCAAACTTAACATTAACTTAATGTAAAAAGGTAATTTTTTTTTACACCAAGTTGGATTACAGCATCAAGTTACTTCTTTACAATAAATAAATAAAATAAATAAATAAATGCGTTTATTGTGTATGTTTAATGTCACGTATCTGTTTCAATGTTGTAGGTTACTTTGAAACCGACACTATTAAATAGAATAAAATAAATAAATGCGGGTATTGTGTATATAAAATATCACGTATCTGTTTCAATGTTGTACGTAACTTTGAAACCGACACTATTAAATAGAATAAAATCAAAAAATGCGTGTATTGTGTATGTATAATGTCACGTATCTGTTTCAATATTGTCCGTAACTTTAAAACCGACACTATAGCATTGTCGTCGTAAGTTTCTATGAGAACTAAGCAGCGCTATCTGACGTAATGTCTTCTTTCACACAAAATTTGATGATGACGATACGATTACGGAGCTATCAACGATCGTGTTTGGGACTCTGCTGTTAAGAATAAAATTATTACAGCAATGTTTTCATCATGAAATTGACATGTGTCAATTTTATTATCACCTTTTACCCCTTAGAGCTACTCAGCCACCGTTGTGCGTTATTCACTTATTGTTCTAAGTAAGACATTTTTGATAAATAATTCTACTATTCACACCATAGGTACCTGCGTAAATAACGCCACCGTTAAATTGAGGTACTTCCCTACAATTTGAAGAAAATTCGACATCATCTTTTAGATCGCAGTAGCATAGCGGTAAGTGTATCCGCCCGGGCAGAAATAGTAGCAGGTTCGAATCCTGCTTGTCAACTTGACGGATATGCAATTTTGTTCTAGTAAAAAAATCTTTAGATTTATAAACGAAGAATATTAATGCTTAAAAATCTATTTTCAAAAACAGGTGACACCTTTTAATATTAAAAAAAATGTAGAGTTACGTTGATAAACTTATATTTAGAAATAATACTTATATTTATTTATTCGATTTAATAATTTATTAGTCAAAATATTTTTTTAAGGTTTTATTAGTATTATCAGTTAGTATTATTTAACTATATTTATAGCTGGTATCTATGTGTGCTTGCTCGAGTGCACTTTGTACGTAGTTCAACTTCTGTACGCGCTCACACTTTTTTTTTATTCTAAATGGCTTCGCACGGCTGGTGCATTTAGCCAATGTCAAGTGTTAAAATGTATACAAATACTATATCACTCGTGGTCAAAGTAATAAATCAAGTCAAAGTAAGTGGCAGTCAAGTCAATCCCCCTTTTCCTATGTTTCAGTTAAAGTGTGGGGATTTGCTTGAACCTCCCCATGGATTTCTTGAGAGAACTACGTCGAAAGACACTTTCCGCTATTTTGTTTCACTTGCCAACACTTGTGCATGTTCCCGAACACTTCTAGTGGTTAATAATCCACCATTATTAGACACTAACATTCGCCACAACACAATTTTTAACAAGAAAAACAAAACTGCTAATGTGTCTCTTCCCGATCCCGCCAAAAAGTCGGCGCTCACACTTCTTCTTCTTCTTTTTCTTTTTTGTGGCAAACACGGTTTGTGCGTTCAGAGGCGCTCACACATCTTTTTCTTCTTCGTTTTCTTTTTTTATGGCATGCACGTTTTGTGCGTTCAGCCAATGTCAAGTAAAAACGCTCACACTTGGTAGAGAGATTACCGCTTTATTATTTTTATAACATTCTCCCTTTTCAGGGAGGCCAAGGGAAAAAGCCCATACTATCTTCTTTTTTTACATTAGGATGTCGGTGTGACACATTCTAATCTTTATTTATCTTTATTTCTTTATTAAAAATACATCTTTTTTTTTTTCAGGACAAATATTTTAGAAGCGTTGTAATAAAGCAGTAATGGATCACAAAAAAGCTCGTTGATTATCACTCTCATCTGTCAAAACCCGTTAGCGAACAGTATTACAGTACCCTTAGCCCTTACAGTACCCTTAGCACGCACCAATATCAAATTAGAATAGTTTGCGAGTGCTAAAATGTCAATGACAATTTTTGTATGGAAACTTGATCAGCAGCTCCACAAAGTACGTAACGAGAACTAAAAATCAGTGCACATTTGACAATGACATTTCGGACTCGCAAACGTTACAAATTCGATATTGGTTCGTGCTAAGGGTACTGTACCCCTAGAACAAACCATTATCGAATTCGAATAGTTTACAAACCGAAATGTCAATGTCAAATTTTGTATGGAAACTTATAGTAGCGGCATAAAGTACGTAACGAGAACTAAAAATCAATACACATTTGACAATGACATTTCGGACTCACAAACGTTACAAATTCGATATTGGTTCGTGCTAAGGGTACTGATCGGTTTGTTATAATGTAAAATGGCCATAAACACAAATTGGTATAACAATTAAAAAAAAATCAAATATTTATTTCTATTACTTATATCTTTATCATATTACCATATGTTGCATAAAACCATTATTATTGTAAAAGTACAAACATATTTAAATAATACCGTTCAATTATAATTAAGTATAAAATGTTCTAACTAACGAACTAGCGCAAATATCTGAATATGAAATAATCAGTCAAAAGCATTATAAACCCGTTACTACTATTTTTTTGACTGAAAACATGTATAATGCATTTTCTAAGGGGATGTTTTAATTTGTGCGCTACATAATATAATAAATATTGATGCACAACCGAAGATCTTATTAATCTTTCAATGTATGGCGTTACTTGATTTGATATCTATATTTTATAAGCTGTTCGATTATATCTTATTACTCCATATATAGGCAAGAAAATATTGACTAATTCTCCGACTATCTCATTACAAAAAGAGATGAATACCTTTTTTCCATTTGGATTAAGATACTACCAATTACCTTTTTTTCAAATAGGAGGTCATCGAATACTTCACTTATTACAAACATTTAAATAACGCATTCCAAATAGTAAAGCATACAGCCACAGATTAATAAATTAAGAAATACAACCTATTCTATTTAAAACTAAAAAAAGAAACTTTTCAACCTAATTCATTTCAATCTACGCTTAAACCGCGGAAGGTTCCAGCCATTCCTAAATATTCATCGTTGAGTTTCTTTACTGGTCTAAGGGCTTCATTGATTTTGGCTTTGTAGGTTTCCTTCATGAGCCCCATAAAGTCTTCAGAGCTTAATACATCTACCCATTTTTCTGTAAAAAAATATAAAACAATTATTGTGCAAAATCAGGAATGGTTTTTTCAAAGTAAATCTTTACAGAAAGTAATTGACGTCATTCATACAAATATTAAACAAAAACAAACAAATTTAAAATGATTCTATAAATGGATTTAATTTTAATAGTAAACTTAAAAACCGGCCAAGTGCGTGTCGTGCCACGCGCAGTATAGCGTTCCGTAGTTGCCTGTCGTTACCGCAATATATTTGAGCGGGAGTCTTTATTTTCTGTATCGAAAATTTAAAAAATCAAATTTTAAATAGGTTATTTGGATTTCGTTTTTAATGCAATGTTTACGCTACAATAATTTCATTTATGTCACTATTAATGTTTTCTTCTAAGGAAATTTGAAAAGGTAAGAATTTTCTTTAACCGAAGTTGAACGACTATTACTCTTGAACTAACAAATCTATTTTATTTTATTTGGAGTTATAATAAAGTGTTAATCAATCTAACTATCACCCTATTTTAATATTTATGATTTTCCTAAAAGTTCATAAAAAGCACTATTATCATGAATTTTGCCAGGTTTTTCAAGCCAACAATTAAGCTTTTAGAGAGCCCCCCTCTCGCCCTACTCGAATAAAAATTAGCACTTTGAAGTTCAATATTTTGCATAGTCTTAGGAACCCCTAAATAATTTTAAAAGACCTATTCAAGGATATTCCACATTGGGGTAGTCGATGAAAAAAACCCTATATGTAACATCTCCAGGTAACATATAGGGGAGCTAACCTAAAAAAAAATCTAAATTGTATTCACCATTTTCTCGGCGTGATTGATATACATATCTCCACTAGATTACAGCACTCTAATGCTAACAGTCTCCAAGCAAAACCAGGGACGGACAGACGGACATGACGAAGCTATAAGGGTTCCTTGTCAGGACTACGGAACCCTAAAAAGGTAATCAAATTTCACGTTCATTTGTCTGACATTTAGTCCTAGTCTGTAATTTGATATACAGTATTTAATTTAAGTGAGTGGCAGTACAATGATATCATCCGTTAATTATAAAAAAACACAGTGATACTCTGGTATCGCAAGCGTCTACATTAACATGCCATATTTGGCACGCTTTATACATTTTTTTTTTTCCAGAAGATTTTTTGGTCCTTACTTTAATTAGTCACAAAATCTTATGGAAAGATTTATGGGCTTACATGGACGTTTTGATATTCCATTATTTTAAATCATAAGTCTTTTCTTTACAGAAGGAATTTACCACGTTTGCCATACGGAAAAGATGAGAATAAATCAAATACCGTATAACCTCTGAATACCCAAAAGTTAAAAAAAAACAGAGGCTGCACGTTTGATGTACGACTATAATGTTAATTAAAAAATGATTCTTTTTCCAAAACAAGGAAATATCTATATCATCTAATATGACGGTTTTAATGACAATGCGTCAAATATAAAACCTCTATTTAGATGAAAATGTAATTTCATCAAATTGAAGACTTGGCTTGATGTTGTTAAGTTACATACATCTATTGCGTTTATATTAGGAAAATTTAAAGTTTTCCACACAATGGCTAACTTATACAAGAACTTTTTATAGTATGCAACTCGACATCAAATAATAATGAATCTATTATGAAACGGGATGCAGGTGAAACAAATTAGTGGCAGGGCGCTTGTTAACGAGATGTTGTTCCGCCGGGTTTAGTAAAGGTTTTAAAACATATCTTGGTCCGGTAGGCAATTAAATATGGGACTCTATGGAGCTTTTTAACGACACCGCCTCTAGCCACGCTTTGAAGTACCGTCACCAGCACCAGTTTGGGGTCAGTACAAACGTACAAACCGTGCTCCTGACCAAGCTTAGCCGTCACCGGCCCGGGTAGAAACTGGGTAGAAACCGGGTAGAAAACTTTTTGTTAACAAGCGCCTTAAGGGTGTCGAAAGTGTATTTGCTATTATTAATTGAGGAGCTGGCGAACAAAACGGTATAATTACACAAAATAAAATTTTACAGGGGCTGTATAAAACTGAATGACATACCTGCAGTAAGGTTTTGGCATGGTTTTTAATTTATAAATTTATTCATAACACTGTTTTAGGTACTTTTCATTGAAAAATAATTATTTGAGATTCAAAATTAACGGGCCCGAAACCTCCAGACCCTTAAAAAAAGTAGTTTGACTGGATGCGTAATTATACCGTTATGTGCGCCAGGTTCTTAATTCATAAACGAAACATATCTAAAAAGTTTCATAGCTATTTTAGACCCCAAGATACATCAAAGTAAACGTATTCGTAAAGAAACCTACAATGCTAAGAGATGACGCTACCTTGCAGCTTAAGAAATACTAGAAGAATTTCGACACGGCCATAACGCGGATTTTTTTCTCGTAAAAATTTCTTCAGATTCAAATATCTAGCAGTGAAATGCTTAAAATAAAATATACGTATTCGTAGCAATATGATTGAGCATGTACTTACTGTGGATCTCTTTCATGGATACCTCGGTACCTCCATATTCTACAGGCAGGATATCCTTGTCAATGTACTTGAGTAGAGCGTCCGCCTCGGCGTGAACGTGTATACGATTAGCAAGTTTCTCAGATATCATTTGTTTGAACGTTGATACTAAGAGATTCACGAATCTAGATGTTGATATTAAATGGATTTCTTTCACTCTTATACCGTAGCCATTCTGTAACAAAAGAAAGTATTTTCCATAACTGATCAATTATAGGGTACATTGCATAATTATTGCTAGATCTCTTATCATCATCTTGGCTTAGAAATTAGGTTAAATTGAGACTTTAGCAAAAACAATAAATACCTACAATTTACTGACGTTTATAAACTGTACAACAAATAAAATGTGCAATTTCTAAAAAGGTATTTTGTCATTTTTTAAGACAATGTACCTTTTTAGATTTAGAAAATACGTATCTTGTAACCGATATTTCAAATAATATTTCCAATGGTATCTCTTGTATCTGATATCTAAATACTTGACTTTTTATTATCTTGTATTTCAGTTTTTTTTTTCTGACTTTTTATTAGGTATTTTGTACATCTCTGATAACGGTACATATCATCGTCATCATCCGCCAATGCATATCTCCTGCTGAACACAGACCTCCTCTAGAAGTTTCCACATGAAAAGATCCTATGCTTTTCAGCCATCCCCGGACTCGCTTGATGTCGTGGGTTCACCTTTTTTATATATGGAAAAATCTAAGAAGGAAAAGGCTTTACGCCACCCTGAACCACCGAGAATAGCGTCAACATGATATCTGAAGGGTCTTTCCCGTTTATTTCATCCAGCCCCAAGGCTCGATGAAATAAGCAGGGCCCTACGCAGTCTTCTTTTCAGCCATTCTCAACCAGTCTAGTGTAGGCCTCCTTCAAATTACGCCATCTAGTTCGATCTTGCGCCACTTCCATCCAATTCGTCCCTGCAGTTTTCCTGACGTCATCCTTCCAACGCATCTGTGGTCTTCCTCTAGGTCATTTCTCGCCCCAAGGTCGCCATTCCAAGACCGCCTTACCCCACGAGTCATGCTTTCGTGCTACATGTCCCGCCCACTGCCACTTCAAACTCGCTATGTGTTTAACGGCATCAGTGACCCCACTTTGCTTTCTAAGCCAGGTGTTATTCTTGCGGTCTCGTAGTTTAATCCCTGCTAGTTTCCTCTGGGCGACTTGTATCTTGTTGATACTTTCTTTTGTCAGAACCCAGGTTTCAGCTCCATAGGTAAGTACGGGTAATATACAGTGATCGAACAATCTGGCTTTCTGTATCGCTGTTAAATTCATTTTGAAAGTCGAGTTTTGTGTAGGCAGCCCACATAAGACGGATGCGCCTATCTATTTCGTTTAGTTGATTTTTCTTTCCCATTTTAATTTCACTCAGGTATGCTTTTCTACCTTTTCGTTGACGGATTGGTTTACCTTAATAGTAAATGGTATTGGATCATTAGTCATGATCTTGGTTTTACTGAGGTTCATTTCTAAACCGACATATAAGGAAGCTTCATTCAACTCGTATATCATAGTTTGGAGGTCATCAGGGTTATCACTAAACAGAACGATGTCATCAGCGAACCTTAGGTTATTCAATCTTGTTCCCGGCAACTTTAGACCACGTTCCTCCCATGAATAACTTCTGTTCATTTTCTATGAAAATTGGTACGCATATTGTTTGTGACCTAGATTGATACATTAGGATGCTTGTTATCCCGGAGAAATTTAAGGTTCCAGTGGGATACTCAAAAAAACAAAAACTAAAATAATACATTAAGAATATGTCCTTGTTATGATATAATATGTTATACTAGCAAACCAGTGAACCAAATGTTCACCAAAAAAAAAATGTATTTAATTAATTGAGAACTTCGGAGATTTTGTGTGGTTTCGTTTGAAATAGAAATCACGTGATTTCTCGAAAACCGGAAGTGCTACGTTACTCAAATCGGGTTTGTAGTCTTATCAGACTATTCTTAACTTATAACTTAAACATTCTCTTTATCTATCTCTTACGGTTTGGCCGCTGAAACAGCACCACGGACGGACGGACGGACGGACTTGTCTAACAGATAAGAGATGCAGTGTTAAAGTAAGGGTAACTTGATGGAAATCATTGTATATTTTGTACATATTTTGTGAACTCCGTTTCACTGTAATTTTTATAGGAGACCTGTAATTGGCCTTTCTTTATAACTAAACATGTAGTAAATTTGTAATTAACACGCTGTTGGTTTCTTAATAAAAAAAAATGAAAGTTTTTTGAAGACATCCTCCTGTACCAGAGTAAACAATTTTAGTGAAAGAATATCACCCTATCTTACGCCTCTTTTGATGTCTATATGTTGCGTTTGGTCGACCAGCGTGACTTTCATGGTAGCGTTATTGTAGATGTTCTCAATAAGCTTCGTGTATCTGTTTCTATGCGAGCATTTTGAAGTGTTTGAACAACTGCCCAGGATTCCACACATATAGCCCTACCCAGTATAAACCAGATAATACTCGTGCGTCTATCCCCCCAGCACACTTTACGCGAACCAAATTCCACGGGATGTGTATTGGAACTGGGGTAGGAGGTGTGTGGTGTTACCCTGGGTTGGGAAACACTACGGTAGTCGGTCAACCAGGTGAGGAGTCTCCTGAAGTACATATAAGTGGTAAATAAATATGCTAAATTACTCACCAATGCCAGGTTCAGAAGCTGTGCTGTTTGAACCAAGTCCAGATATTTTATAAATTCGAAAAGATTTAAATTTCTATAATCGAAAACGATTACGGCTCCGTTTGCGTAGTCAAAAGCGGATATGTATTCCAAATACTGGAAAATTAAAAATGGAAATTCAACATTGTTTCTCTTTATTTTTTTAATAAATATGTGCAAAGGTATATTAGACCCACGACCCACCCATTAAGGTATTACAAAGATATATGTAGAAAAAAAATGCAAATTCCAACTTAACAGAATCTTAATTATTGTGATTATCTCATTACTGATTTAGAAGTGTACTCTGGCTTCAAAATGATTATTCTGTTTTCACAAGGAGCAACAAATTATCCTACCCAATCTGCTGTTAAATTTAATTGTGGTCTAGTTAAATTGATGTGTGTGTAAAGGAACAAAAAGTACTGAGTATTCCTGACATTGTCTAAACAGCAAATAAATGTAACTCAGCCTTCATTTATTTTTACAGCGCTTTCAAGACGTCACTTTACTATAATATAAAAGTATGAATCTCTAGAATTTGCTAATGAAATGAAATGAAAAGTCATTTATTCAGTCTAGGCTGTTACAAGCACTTGTGAAGGTCAAGAAATAAAATAGTGAAAGTGTTTTGTACAGCTCTTTAATTATGTAATTTCTCTACTTCTACCGATATACCCTTCAGATAAATAATTGAAAGATGATTATAAGCTTAAATTAAAATAGAATTTCATATGTACAAAAGGTATTTCGTTTGAAATTATGAGGTTACCTACAATGCGAATAGATGATGATAGAAGACATTCGACAGTGAGATACTAAGATATTCGATGAACTCCATTACTTACATAAAACCCACGTATGTAAAATTCGGTAAACAGTTCTCTTGTGAAAGTTTGAGCGTAATTTTGTAAAATGAACACTCTGTAATAGTCCTTTGTGAGTTTTGGTAAGAGAGCATCAGTTCTGAAAAAAGAAATCAATATTCAATTATAATTTCAAATAAGTGATTGTGTCTTAGGTTGCTTTATTTCATCTATGGTAAAAAGAGACCTTCGATTTTTGATCAATTTCGTACCTTAGTACAAATTATCTCAAAAAATATTTAAAATTATACTTAAAAAGACTCACTAATCAAAATCTCAATAAGTTCGATAAAAATTGCTGAAAATCTTAATAATTAAAATAAGGAACCTGAGTATAAAGAAACGTTATTACTTAGACGCAATTTGTTAATGACTAAAAGATGACAGCTAATACTAATGGTTTAAATTGATTTCCTTGATTGTGATTGGTTGTAACAAAAACCACGTGGTTTCCATAGCTAATTAAAGAAATATAATATTATTATCTTTGTTTCCATTATTTTAAATGTTCATACGAGGTTTTTATGTGGTATAATTGGATAATAAACTCTATTTATATTTTGGCGTATTTTTCTATACATAGATGCATGATTATTCTTGAGGTACAAAATTGGGCAAAGTTGTACGGAGAAAAGAATGGGACCTCTGACTATAGTTTTTGCTACGTCAAATAGGTACAAAGTAAATGTCTAAAATTTTGACAAATAGTTATTTTTAGTCAGATTCAACTATCGATGAAACACAGCGGCCTTATTTGTAAAATCATAAATTTTCATAGATTTCGTTTGGAACTATTTTTATTTAGGATTCGATTACCTTTACATTATTTTATTCCCCTTCAGGTAAGAAATTCTAATAAGTTGTCATTCTTATTTTACATTAAATTATTGGTCTCATTACCGCCATCTTGATTAATGGTGTTTGTGTTATTACTCACTTAAATTTAGTAAGGTATCGATCAAAGTATGGAAGTGTAGTTAAAAAACCTGTCACCAAAACAGAGCATTCTAATAAATTAAAATTAATTTAGGTCATGGTGCACCAATGCAAAAATCTTTGCTTTCCAATCTGTATACATAATTCGTAAAAGTTGTTTTTATTGAGATTTCAAAAAAGATCAAAAAAGCTGTCATAAATTGCGTCGAATTTCATTTACTGCGTCTTTAGACCTAAACCTATTGAAAATCAATTTATCAAGCATTTTTGACAATGAATCGTTCTCCCTACTTATGTCTAAAGTTCTGAACACTTTAAAAGTTAATCATGTTTAAGTCTCGAGCCATCTATATTTGACTTGAAACAATTGACAAGGATGGAATGATGTACAAAGCACGCCTTAATTTGAATTTAGAACTTTGGTACAAGTGGGTCTAATAAAATGAAGACCAACAATTTGACGAAATCCAAAACAATACCAAGAAAAAGTTGTTTGGTTGTCTACTTGTCGACTCAATAAATTACGGTATGCTTTCAAACTATACTAAAATAAAGTAAGGCAATTTCAATTACATTTTACTACTTTAAATAAAGTTGATATTATTAATCTCTACTAGATCTTGCTTTAGATGTGTCTCTACATACATCTAAAGCAAGATCAACCAAACAAACTTTACCCACAATTTAACACCCTTTATTGATGATTTTTGCAGTAAAAACTATCCTATGTTTTTTCCGTATCTCGAACCACCTCTATACCAAATTTCAACTTAATCGACTCAGCGGCTTAGGCGACGGTGAAGAGATATATAGCAGTCAGACAGACATGTATACTTTCAAATTTATAATATTAGTAAAAAAGGATTATAATTACGTTTGTTCGTCTAATTCAACGAACTCCCTGACGTCCCGAAAGACGTAAAGGTCGGGCATCAATACTCTCGCCGTGCATATTTTGTCTAGGCGCTCCTTACTCCTTTCTACAGAGCCCTTTGCCCTTATGATGTTTCTTTCCAGATAGCCACGACCTGAAACGTAAAAAAGAGGGTTTACATTAAGTAAGTGATACAAGTGGTTAATAAAGTCCATTTCCATTTTTTGTGTATTCGGCGTATTTTTCTACACATAGATGCATGTTAATTCTTGAGGTACGAAATTGGGCAGAGTTGTACGGAGAAAAGAATGGGACCTTTGACTATAGTATATGCCATGTCAAATACCTACGTAGTAGATCCAGTTTATTATTTGCTATATCTTGTTTTGTGTAAAATAAAATTTCAAACATTTCATTTTCTGTTGAAGAAATATGGAAAAATACATTTATTTCGACCACAAAGATCATAGCATGACAATGACAAAGTATTTGTTTTTTAGGTTTTCACGCACATCACTCATTAAATAAAACTAGTTTTTACGGGTTGGATGTACTGAATTCCTTAGAAAGTTTGGTTTGCATGATACCGGCAGTCGAGTTTATTACGGGCTTGGATAGAGATGCGCGATTTTCACTAATTTTGGTAACTGAAAAGGTACTTTTTATTACTTAATTGTTGTCGTTATTGAGAGTGGGTGTCATGTTATATGGAGTGCATCATTATATAGAAAACAAAATAAACGAACCAAAGACGAGTGATTTCGACGCTTTAGGGAGTTTGTTGTTAAATCGAGTGACGTTCCATAGAGTTTACACTATAAAATGTAGGTAATTAAATCGGCGCCGCGAAACAAAAAATTATTTAATTATTTAATCGACCTATGGTTTCTTAAATTGATGTTACGTTGCCATAACCTGTATTAGAATTATTCAAGTCTTTAACGTCATCACGAACCAGTAATCGACGTCATTTCTTTTGATTAAGCGCTTTTTTTGCAACTTCTGCTAATTAAACTAATGGTGACACTGAACTTAGAGTCAACACGATGGAGAAACATTGTTCATTGCCTTGTGTTTTGTCGTCATCAGAGTTACAAACAACAAAGTGTCGAAATTACTTGATTTGATTTTTTGATATCCGGTAATATATTGATTTGTACTCATTTAGCTGCGGTGTAGACTGAAGTTTTAGCTCTTGAGCTTATACCTTTACTATACATATAATTTTAATATTAAAGGAGGAACATCTGAAAAGGCAGCGCGATACGCTTTGGTGTTAAAAGGGTGGCAAACAAGCATATGGTCCGTCTGATGTTAAAAGCCGCCAGCATAGCCTATTTACGCTTGCGATACTAAAAATATCACCCACAGCGTTGCCTCTTTTAAATAAATCCCCTAATCATCTCCGTTGCCTACTTTAACTAAATCCCCTAATCATCTCCGTTGCCTACTTTAACTAAATCCCCGTAGAGCCCTGGATGCTTACTCGCTGGCAAAAATACAACACCACCAAGAGGTAGTGTTATTTCACCGTGGGCCTCTCTGGTGGATGTTGCTTCACTAAGCGGGACTTCTCTATGTTGGATAATTGCTTTAAAAACCACTAAGAATTTAAACTGCCGGCAAAGCAGCGGCTAAGAAATAGTTTGGTTACATTATGGATTCCAATATGTGAAACTTTCTTTACAATGTGGCAAACTTTAATCTTAGTATCTAGCTTATCGTTGATACGCCATAATACAAAGCGGGAACGTGATACATCTGAATCTACAATTCGCCTTCATCATAAATCCTACTAATATTATAAATCTGAAAGTATGTATGTTTGCCACTCAATCACGCAAAACTGCTTAACGGATTTGGATGAAATTTGGCACACATATAGTTAATCACCTGAATTGAAACATAGGATACTTTTTGGCGAAAACATGTTAGGTTCCAGAGGGATTCTCAAAAAACTCAAGTTAACGTGGACGAAGTCGCAGGCGGCCACTAGTATAAATAAGAATGTTTTATTTTGTGGCATACTTTAACCGCAAAAGTGATATGGGGTTAAAATGTGTAAAAACATAAGTAGTACTTTATTACAAGGTAAGTTAAATCAACACCAAGTGGACATGATATAGCATAAATCTGTTTAAGTGTATAATACATTGGTAATGAGCGAGTCGTATTATCACTCGAAGAATTCCATCATATTTCGCAAGGTTCAACGTTAGGTCTGATGTCATTTCTTATGTAGGGCCTCTTTACAACCGACTAATACGAAGAAAAAAGGCGGAGGTTCTTTATTGGTAGTGTGTTATTTTTTTGATGATCATTTTCTTCAATTTTCATTATTAGTCGATATTATTTTTTTATTTGTTTGGCAACTAAGCAAGGCAATAAAGCAAGGTTTTGTCTTACTATTTAAGTATATGAATTAAAACCTGCAGATAGTCGAGGACAGTCAAAGCTTCGTATTTCAGTGTGGAAGCCTAAAACTAATTCCAAAAATATATGGTTTTTCTTAATCGCAATCATCTACAAAGGCCTATTAAAGAAGTTACCATCACAATCTATTAATGTCCCCACTGATGGAGCACAGGCCTTCCCTATGGATGGAATAGGGAGATTGGGCCATGACCCACCACGCGGGCCCACTGTGGATTGGTGGGTGCTAATGACTGCAAATAACGGACCACAGAACACAGATAGAAGTTAGAAGGGCCTTGTGGGCGGGACTGGCGTGCCACAGTTATATGTGAGCAAACAAACATCATAACTAGAGCCAAAACTTGGTTTTGATTGCGTCGTCGACCAAGATTGTGGTCACTCATCCATTGACCGACCATTGCGAAAGTTGCTTAAATTTCACGATCGTAGCACAACGCGCTAATCACCACTGTCCGTCTGTCACCAAGCTGCATACATATCATGAACCGTGATAGTAGACATTTGATATTTTCAGAGATGATGTATTTTTGTTGCCGCTTTAACAACAAATACTAATAAGAACGTTTGTGGTTCCTACTCGCTGTTTCTGATGCTTCAGCTACCCACCTTGACATATGATCCCAAGGTTAGTATGTGACCTAGTAAATTTAGAAATGTAAATTAATATTAAGTCAATACCCAATTTTAATTTCCATTTTTAAAGTTACCACAACCGCACATACTTTGGATTGGAACCGCATACACTTCAATTTAATATTGGGTCAACACCCAATATTAATTTAATTCTAAAGTTATTAGTTATAAAGTTAATGTGCAAATATATTTAAACCTTTAATTTTTTTTTATTATAGATTCTAGCAAAAACTAGAACAGATATTAAGTGGCGGTGGAGTACAGATGGGAAATAGCTGGTGCAGCAGGGATGGCCTTTTTGTTCATTTCAATCATTACGAGCTCCGAAGCAAGTTTGTGTTTTAGAACCCTTTTTAGCTATATGGTCATGACCGTCTCGAGGTCAATTTGTATTTGTGAGCGTTTCAAAATGAAGTGTATTTTAACATAGGAGTTAGATTAATAGAAGTGCGGTATTAGCAAATATTTCGTTCTAATTGGAGTTCCCGTCTGGATATCTTTCATCTTACCAAAGACCAAAGTAAAATAATGGTTTGGTTGTGTTCTGTTGCTGTCGGTGAGTAATGTTCCAGGTTCTAGGGCTCCACGGGGTAGAGGATTGGATTAGGGTAGGAAAATGCGCGAGTGGTATTTTTGTATCACAAGCTATGGTGGCCGCTTACAACACCCGGCCCGGTTAAAACATAAAAAAAACATTTCTACTTACTAAAATCCTTCTTGGTGAAATGATCCTGTTTCTTCAGCCATAACTCCAGAATGTCGATTGCTCTGTCTATGGCACCTGGTTTATCCAAGTTGAACTCTTTTCTAACAACTTGCAAGGTGTCAGGAGGAAATACTAATATCGGATCCTTGGGTAGGCTATCCATAGTAGGTGCTTAATAATTATCTTAAGGACTTTTTTCTTTTAATTTACTTTCGAAGACCGCGTCCGGTTTTTATGTCAGCCCGCGATAGACTAAATTAATATAAAGATGTTAACTCTGAGATTTGTCAGCGTTATTATGACACAAGTTTTTTCAAGGTAAAGTGTTAGGAAACAGTGTTTTAGTAGCCTCATGCACAGTAAATCATGTCAGAGTTGAACAGCCATAATAAGCCAGCCGTCTGCTGCCTGGTCTGCGTGTAATTTTTTCTAGTTATATTTTCTTTAGATTTAATCATCAAGCAGTTACATGCTTGAAATTAAAAATTATAACTATAATTGCCATTTCTTCTTCCAAATGTTTAATACTTGTAAAAACATTCATTTGACATTGTGGTTTACCTACAATGCGAAGAAATGGCGCTGCCTTGCAGCTTAAGAATGGCAAGAAGAATTTCGACGCGGCCGTCAGGGCCGTATGCTACCGCGGTAGCATAATTGGTCAGTGCATTCGCCCGGATTGAGAAGGGTGCGGGTTCGAGTCCCGTCTGCTGCCTGGTCCGCGTGGATTTTTTTCTAGTTATAATTTCTTTAGATTTAAACATCAAGCAGTTACATGCTTAAAAATAGCCATAATTTAGTTGCGTCATGGTTATCGATTTCGATTTAGTCTGTGGTCGTTTGCTGTTTACTATTATTAAATGTATTTTTATTAGATAAGTAGCTATAAAGAAGATCCATGGACGCTGATAATTTGCTGTATCAGAATCGTTTGTGCGGTCATTGTTGATGTCACTAATGAGCAATTTTTATTTTTTTAGGGTTCTGTATCTTAAAAGAAAAACAGAACATTTATAGAGTCATTTTCACTTATAGAGTTATCAGTCAGTTGTTCGTCTGTCCGTCCGTCCGTCTGTCTGTCAAGCCCCATTATCATGGAAACGCGTGGGGGTCACTTATAGAGTTTTCAGTCAGTTGTCCGTCTGTCCGTCCGTCCGTCTGTCTGTCAAGCCCCATTATCATGGGTACGCATGGAGGGAAGTTTAAACCGTACACTCAGGACTGGTTTTCCTTGAAGCTGTGAAAAAACCAAACTTAGAAAATGTTTACGTATTAAAATGATACGGGCGTTTATCTGTCTGTATGTTAAGACCCTTTATCTCGGGAACGCGTGGAGTTATCGAGTTTAAATTTGAACCATATACTAAGGTTAACGGTCTTTTAAATCTGTGAGGAAATTAAACTTCTGAATTAGCGTAAATAATAGTTTAAAAAAAAACTAAAAACACGGTTTTATTTACTGTACTAAAAAGCCAAAAATAAACAAAATATAATCTCTGTTTACTTTATTAGGCCCTTAAAGTTACCCATGTTTATAGTTTTTTTTTAACATACTTATATAACTGAAAATGCGTAGGCCCAATTCATTGCAATATTTATCAAATCAATTAATATATTACGCGATTCATAGTGCTTAATAATAGTTAAAATTTTATAATGAAGCGCCCCACGCTTTTTATCGGCTGTATCTTTAGTGTCGCCGCACACGGGCCACACGCCACAGCAACAAACGCCGCCACGAGAAGCTAGAAGCGAAGAACAAAAGTGGCTGAAGTGCGCGACAGCGGCCGACTCAGGTAAGGGAGAGAGGGGTGGGGAATCACGCGAGTGACGTGTGGCGGCGTTTTGTATCGGCGCATTAAGTGGCCGGTGCAGACCACAAGAAGCGAGCAACGACGATTTGTAGCTTGTGGCGGCCACCGGCGTACCGTGTGTGGCGAGTCCATATAAAATGTATGAAAACAACAAGAAATATGCCGGTGGCGGCGTTTTGTAGTTGTAGTCGGTGTCCCGTGTGCGGCGACACTTAGCCGTTCATGCCGCAAATTTTCGAAACTCGCACGGGAATCATAACCTACAGCGTACTTTCCGTGAACTTAGAATCTTGAAATTTGGTACGTAGTAACGTCTCATAGTACAGATAAAGGAAAAATTGCGAAAACCGTAAATTTTTAGTTAAATCATATAATCAAAATTATTTCTGAAAATTTTTAAGTTACTACCTCTTTTCTCATGAAAGCGTAGAGGTATTAAATTGAGTTTGTACGGCACCCTCTGTGTGCGAGTCCGACTCGCACTTGGTTGGGTTTTTTTTCTATTAATGACAACTACTTATTGTTGCGATCAAATCTTTTAGTTCTTTTTGGCAGTCTTTTTGTTGTTTGTTATGGAGTATTTTGAATCCTATTGATCTTTTTTTTGCAGAAGCAGTCATATTTTTTTTAATTCGAAAGAAAAATCACTAAAATGCTTTCAGCTCAGTTTAGGTATCAAGCGAAAATCTAACTAATGTTCTTCGCTATCCAGGCAAATGTACTTACCATTATGCTACAAACGACGCGTAGATTATTTTATAAATTATTATCGTAAGCTGCAAAGCAGCGCCATCTGTACATAGTGTAGGGAATTAAAATTTCATATGGGATACATACTTTTGCGAGGATCAAACATTTCAAAGAAGATGAAGCAATGATTACTTTGATACTATTATTTTGTGTTCAAGCATACACCTGCTGATTGTATAACTGTTTATCTAGAACCAACATTAAATCGAACTCTGTCTATACTGGAATCGAACCAACTTCCTTCATTATTAATTTTACTTTCGGTATCTTCTGTACGAGTTTTACGTTAAAAGAAAAACCTTATTAATAATAAGATATATCTTATTACTATTTGAGTGGTTGCTTCGCGATGACTATGAATGGGGTCGCAGGGGCAGACACTGAGGGCAGCGGGTGTCGACCTCAGGCCGAGCTGCTTCTCACACGGGCAGCTATACGTCGCGTCGCTTGCTCCCGCGTCACCTGTCCTGACTTTCTTTACATTTTGGCTGTGGAGAGCCAAAAACACTAATGTTGTTTATCGAGAAATCCGATAAGTATGTATTTTTACCCTATTATGTATTTCTTATTCTTTTCTCCATCTCTTTCATTAATTCAGCAGAATCACCATAAAGTCTATTCAAAGTCTATTCGAAGTTTATTCAAAGCAGGCTGAAAATCAGCACTTTTTGAAGGTCAATTTTACAAAAGACAGTCTCCCTCCGTTACCCTTTCTGTAGATATGAAATGTAAAGAAGAAACGAGTAAATGATTTTTTTTATTTATTTAATTATTTAGTACACACACTATAAAACAGATATGAACAGGAACAAGAAATTGGTACAAGGGCACTGCTTATTTCATATATGAATGTTATTTCAAAAGTATTAATCGTAGGTATTTTTGGTTCTGTATAGCATTCCCGCAGACGACGTCGCAACGAAATACCACTCCCAGTGAGTGATCACAAAATCACGAAATCTCAGAAACTATAACATCTACAAACTTAAAATTTGGAAGGTAGGTTCCTGTGTAGATCTATGCGCTAAGAATTTCACGAAACTCCACTCCTAATGGGGTAATACGGGGGTTTGATGAAGTAAGAGACTTGGTATTTAACATCTATGCATAAAGATGGTGTAGAGGTGTACTAATAATGTATCTTAAGAAATAATCCCCCTTTTGGGATCAAAATGTATGTGCAAATAACTAACTCCACGCGTACGAAGTCACGGGCGACCGCTAGTAATATATAATGATGCACAACTGAAGAACTTAATAATCTTCCAATGTATGGCGTTAATTGATTTGATCTCTATATTTAATAAGCTGTTTGATTTCATCTTATTACTAAATTTAAAGGCAAGAAAATATTGACTAAAAGCTCCTAAGTCTCCGAATATCTTATTACAAAAAGAGATGAATACCTTTTTTCCATTTGAATTAAGATACTACCAATTATCTTTTTTTTTTAATATATTTTAGGATGCTACACTTATTACAAACTTTCAAATAACGAATTGCAAATAGAAAGTAAAGCATACAGTCACCTTACAGCCACAGATTAATAAATTAAGCAATACAAACTATTCTATTTAAAACTAAAAAAAAACTTTTCAACCTAAGTATTTCATTTCAATCTACGCTTAAACCGCGGAAGGTTCCGGCCATTCCTGAATATTCATCGTTGAGTTTGTTAACTGGTCTAAGGGCTTCATTGATTTTGGCTCTGTAAGTTTCCTTTATGAGCCCCATGAAGTCTTCAGTGCTTAATACATCTACCCATTTTTCTGTAAAAAAATATAAAATTATTATTGTTTAAAATCAGGAATAAACCATTCCATTAAACGTAAGTCTCTACAGGAAGTTATTGACGTCATTCATACAAATATCAAAGAAAAACATACACATTTAAAATGATTCTATAAATGAATTGATTTGTTTGATTAGTAAACTTAAAAACCGGCCAAATTTAGGGTTCCGTAGTTGCCTGTCGTTACCACAATATATTTGAGCAGTAGTCATTATTTGCTGTATCGAAAATTCAAAAAAAACAATGTTTAATTAGGTTTTTTATATTGTTTTTCAATGCAATGTTTTACGCTACACTTACTTCATCTATGTCACTATTAATGATTTCTTCTTAGGAATTTTTAAATGGTAAGAATTTTCTTTATCCAAGGTTCAACGACTATTACTGTTGAATTAACAAATCATTTTTTTAATCTTTATGATTTTCCTTAAAAGTTCATGAAAAGCTCTATTATCATGCATTTTGCTAGATTTTTCAAGCCAATAGATAAGCTTTTAGAGGGGGGGGGGAGCTCAAACAAAAATTAGCACTTTAAAGTTCAATATTTTTGCAAACGGATCCCTAAATCGAAAACATGTCTTAAGTACTATAAAAAAAAATTAAAAGACCTATTCAAAGATATTCCACATAATGGGGTAGACGATGAAAAAAAAACATCCCCAGGTTACATGTTACCCTAAAAATATATCATTCAAAATTTTATTCCACCATTTTGTCGGCGTGATTGATATACATATCTCCACAAAATTACAGCACTCTAGTGCTAACAGTCTCCAATCAAAACCTGGAACGGACAGACGGACATGACGAAGCTATACGGTTCATTGTTTGTTTTCATTGAACATTATTTGAGATTCAAATTCAACAGGCCCGAAACCTCCGGACTGTAAGAAAAAGTAGTTTGACCAGATGCGTAATTATACCGTAATGTGCGCCAGCTCCTTATTTCATAAACGAAACATATCTATAATGTTTCATCGCTATTTTAGACGCCAAAATCCAAGTAAAAATATTCGTAAAGAAACCTACTATACATACTTACTACAGAGATAATTCAACACGGCCACTACGTGGTTTTTTTTCTCGTAAAAGAATCTTTAGTTTCAAACATCTAGCAGTTAAATGCTTAAAATAAAAATAAAATATACAGTACTTACTGTGGAGTTCTTTCATGGATACCTCGCTACCTCCATATTCTACAGGCAGGATATCCTTGTCAATGTACTGGAGAAGAGCGTCCGCCTCGGCGTGAACGTGTATACGATTAGCAAGTTTCTCAGATATAATTTGTTTGAACGTTGATACTAAGAGATTCACGAATCTAGATGCTGATATTAAATGGATTTCTTTCACTCTTATACCGTAGCCATTCTGTAACAAAAAACGGTATACATTTCCATAACTGATAAATAATAGGGTACATTGGATAATTATTTGACGACTTCCGTGGCCGAGTGGTTTGTACGCCGGGTTTCAAGGTGTCGCCGACTCGAGTGGTCCCGGGTTCGAGTCCTGGTGGGGGCAGATGTTTGTTTGATGAATACGAGCATTTGTACTCCAGTCATGGATGTTTAATATGTATTTCTATATAAATATACTTATATTTGTACTGTATATGTATTCTATCCGTTACCCTAGTATCCCGCAACAAGAGCCTTACAGTGCTTACTTTGGGGCTAGGCTAATTGGTGTGAGTGTTGGAAATATTTATTTAATTAATTTAATTGATTCTTCTCTTATCATCATCTTGGTATAGAAATGAAGTCCCATTTTCATTAACTTGGGACTTTAGCAAACACAATTGATACCTAAAGGACATTGTTCAGCGTCCATACATAGTTAGCCTAAGAACCAACAATCATGAAATATTATTTTCTAGGTTCAAAATCGTAAGTTAATGACTGTAAAAACAAACATTATTGACGGACACTTCTGAGAACTTAAATTATTAGGAAAACTAAAACTTTTTTGAGGTTATGTTTAATATTCAATGAAACATAGGTCAACCTATGAATTTAGTATGAACTCAGTATGAAGTGAATTAATATTACAACTAATTCATTTTATTCGGTGCGATTTTAAAGAATTACTATTAGGAAAAACTTGGTAAGGTAGGAATATGAATAAAATAAAAACTGTAGTTTTGCTTCTTATTTATTGACTATTTTTCAAATAGTTGTATCATATTGTTTATTGTATTTATTTGTATATCACATGTTTATTGTGTAAATATGCAGCCTGAATGTGTATCAGGTGTTCTTGAATAATTTGGCAGTATGATCCTCTCAGAATGTTGTGGCACAGGTTCACGAGCACTTGGTAATAAGGGATCTGCTCTTTGGTAACATCGATGGCATATTAGATAGCCGAAATAGTTAAATTAAAGGAAAAACAATCGCAAATAAACACACATAACAGGTAATCTGAAACGAGAATGCACATTCCGGTATAGTAAACTACTCTTTGGAATGCACGAATGCCACAGATTGCTACGAATGCAAAATGCATGCACCACAACCACAGAGTATCGAGTTTTATGCCGGCCCTTCACTTGACAACAATTTGTCCTTGTCATGCTTAATAAGGAATGAAAAGGATATAATAGCCAAGTGAAGTGCCGGCATTAGGAAGAAAGAGTGTTTTGTTTGCAGCGCTGCCATAGATTATACACATAAAATGGTATTTATTGTCTCAGATTATTTTTTAACTTTTTAAATTAGCTTACTTAACTGGAAGTGTCCGTCACAATCTAAATACTGATAATTATCGCAAAAAATATACTAAGATTTATCATAAATGCCAAATTAGTGTTGGTTCTTAGGCCAATTTTAACATTGTCCTTTAATAACGTTAATAAACTGTATAACAAGTAAAAATGTGCATTCTCTAAAAAGGGAATTGTGTCCTTAAAAAAATATTTACAAAATACGTATCTTGTAACTGATATTTCAAATATTATTTCCAAATCTGTGTGTCTCTGATATCTAAATTACTTGACTTTCTATTATCTTGTATTGAAAACAAAAAACTTTGACTTTTTATTGGGAATTTTGTACAGCTCTGATAACAGTACACATCAGTATCAGCCGATGCATGTAATAATCTGATTAATTACTCACCAATGCCAGATTGAGGAGCTGTGCTGTTTGAACCAAGTCCAGATATTTTATAAATTCGAAAATATTTAAATTTCTATAATCGAAAACGACTACGGCTCCGTTTGCGTAGTCAAAAGCGGAAAAGTATTCCAAATACTGAAAAATTAAAAATGGGAATTTAACATTAATTTTCTTTTTTTTTATAAAATATAAAAAAATGCAAATGCCTACTCAACAGAATCTTTTTATCATGAATATCTCATTACAGATTTGAAGTGCACTCTGGCTCCAAAATGATTATTCTGTTTTAACAAGGCGCAACAAATTATTCTACCCAATCAGCTATTAATTTTAATTGTAGTCCAGTTAAATTTAATTGCCAGGAACAAAAAGTATTGAGTTTTCCTGACATTGTCTAAACAGCAAATATGTTACTTTTTTAACAGCGCTTTCAAATTGTCACTATATAGTATCTCCCGCCGTAGTTTTGCGAGCCGATGGCGTAGCTTCTTGACTTGCTTGTAATAGTCTAGACTGAATAAATGACTTTTCATTTCATATAAATTATCAACCTCTAGAATTTGCTTAAATAGTGACAGTGTTTTTGTACGAGCTGTGCTTTTAATTGTGTTATTTCTCTACTTCTACCGATATACCCTTTCAATAAGTAATTTAAAGATGATTACAAACTTCAATTTAAATAGAATTACATGTGTGCAAAGGTATTTCGTTAGAAATTATTATTTTACTTAAAATCTAAATAGATGATAGAAGAAATTGAACTGTGAGATACTAAGATATTCGATGAACTTACATAACCTCGTCATAAAATCGTTAGAAATTATTATTTTACTTAAAATCTAAATAGATGATAGAAGAAATTGAACTGTGAGATACTAAGATATTCGATGAACTTACATAACCCGCACGTATGTAAAATTCGGTAAACCGTTCTCTTTTGAAAGTTTGAGCGTAATTTTGTAAAATGTACACTCTGTAATAGTCATTTGTGAGTCTTGGTAAAATAGCATCAGTTCTGAAAAAACAAATGAAATATTAAATTAAAATTTCAAAGAAGTGATTGTGTCTTCGCTTCGCTTGATTTCAACGATGATAAAAAAGACCTTCGATTTTCGCCCAATTTTGTACCTTGGTACAAATAATCTCAATAAACATTTATATTAATTATACTTAAAAATCTCAATAAATTCAATAAAAAAATATTGAGATTTTTTCCGTTTTCCCGTCTGCTGCCCGGTCCGCGTGGATTTTTTTCTAGTTATATTGTCTTTAGCTTTAAACATCAAGCAGTTATATGCTTAAAAAAATAGAATTATAATCAATAAAAAGTTGCTGAAAATCTGAATTAAAATAAGAAATCTGCGTATAAAGAAACGTTATTTCGTAGACGCAATTTGTTAATGACTGACGGATGACAGCTAATACTATTGGTTTAAATTCATTTCCTTGATTGTGATTGCTTGTATCAATAATCACGTGGTTTGCGAAACTAATTTTTAATATTTAAGTGCATATAATATTATTATCGGTGGGTCCATAATTTTAAATGTTCAAATGATTTTTTTTTGGTACTAGTGGATAATAAATTCAATTTATATTTTTGTTGTATTCGGTGTATTTTTCTACACGTAGATGCATGAAAAATTTTTGAGGTACAAAATTGGGCAGAGTTGTACGAGGAAAAGAACGGTACCTTTGACTTTAGTTTTTGCCACGTCAAATAGTAAATGTGTAAAATTTTGATAAATGGTTATTTTAATTTTTCGTCAAATTTTACTAACGATGAAACAACGCGGCGTTATTTTACTGCATTCTTTTTAGTGTCAAAAAATATCAAAAATTTCGTTCGTAGATATTTTTAATTAGGATTCGATTACATGCCACCTTTAAATTATTTTATTCTTAATTAATATTAAATTATTATTAATATATTAATCAAGATGGCGGTAATGGGACCACTGATTACCGCCATCTTGATTAACGGTGTTTGTTTTATTACCCAGTTAAATTTAGTAAGGTATCGATTAAAGTAAATAAATATAAATAAATAAATATAACCATGAGTGTTGGTAATATTTACCAATTAACCTAGCCCCAAAGTAAGCACTGTAAGGCTTGTGTTATGGGATACTAGGGTATCGTATAGAATACATATACAGTACAAATATAAGAACATTTATATAGAAATACATATTAAACATCCATGACTGGAGAACAAATGCTCGTATTCATCACACGAACATCTGCCCCCACCGGGATTCGAACCCGGAACTTCTCGAGTCGGCGACACCATTAGACCCGGTGTACAAACCACTCGACCACGGAGGACGTCATGAAAATGAAGTTAAAAAACCTGTCACCAAAACGAGGATTTTGATAAATTAAAATAATTTAGGTCATGGTGCACCAATGCAAAAATCTTTGCTTCCCAATCTGTATACATAATTTATAATACTTGTTTACATTGAGATTTGACAAAAAAATTGTCGCAAGTTGCGTGGATTTCATTTACTGCGTTTTTGGAACCCATTGAAAATAGTTTATTTGCTAAAAATAGTGAAATACATACACTACATACACTTAATACTAGAAGTAAAAATAAGTTAACTTTACCTGCTACTAGGCTCCACAAAATTAATAACTCGTTTAGAGGCCTCTGTGTTCGCTTTTACAATAAAGTCCCAAGCAATATTCAAGAGTTGAGCCTGACTAAATTTAAATCGACTATTAAAAAAACTCTTATTAAGAATGCTTATTATAAAGTGTCTGATTATATTACAGACAAAAATGCTTGGGTTTGAACTGTTCCAACCATTCCAACGGGTATTTCTATATGATATATATTATGGATCATGTGTTGATGATACTTTTATTGAAAAGCTGTATTTAAAGCTGATTACGTAAGGAAGAATATCAGACTATTTAAGAAGATTTGAATGACAAAACGGCGTGGTCATGATTTCTCCATTGTTTTTGCTTTGTAATTGTTTGCAGTGTCCTACAGATAAATGACTTTAAGTTTAAGTAAATATGTTGTGGTTGATATAGGTGGTTATGGGTAGTCATGCTCTCTTAAAAGTCTCTTCGGTGGTGTCGTGTGAGGCGGGTCGTTACGTTCCCTAAAATATGGTTGAGCGAAGCGATGGCTGGTTCATGCGTCATGCTCGTGAACGGGTGCTGCCAGCGGAGATGAGTCTGCCCTAACTACTTTGATATTTAAGATATAAATGTTTAATTACACCTATTATAAATAACTCTGTTTGTATTTATACTGTGTGACACAGCAATCAAAATGCAGGTGTACAATTAATGTATAATTTCACATTATGTAATGAAGGGTGACTTCATGAATCATCTCTGAAGTCATTTTTCAACTTGACGACTCTGTAAATGATAAAACAGGGAGAAAAAAACAGCCCTTGCTGAGTTTCTTGCCGGTTCTTCTCAGTACAAGGTCTCCCGCCGTAGATTTACGAACCGATGGCGTAGCTTCTCGACATTCATATGTGCTTGTAACAGCCTAAACTGAATAAATGATTTTGATTGATTGATTGATTGATTGAATCAATTTATCAAGCATTTTTGACTATGACTCGTTCTCTATACTTATGTTCAAAGATCTCATGTTATTACCTAAAGTTCTTAATACAAATTTAAAAAATTAATCATGTTTAAGTCTCGTGCCATCTCTATTTGACCTAAAACGCAATCAAGTACTTGTTTGTTGGTACTTTTGGTGTTCTTTGTTTTGAGAATTAAGAACTTTGGTACAAGTGGGTCTAATAAAATGAAAACCAACTATTTCACTACTTATTCTTATTATAAATTCCATCTTATGTATCAACTGAAAACAAACACAATACCAAGAAATAGGTTTTTTGGATGTCGACTCAAAATTACGGTATGATTTCAAACCATACTAAAATAAAGAGGAGTAATTTTAATTAAATTTAACTAGTTTAAATAAAGTTGATATTATTAATCTCTACTAGATCCTACAATTTTTATTTTTCAGGCATGTACCTAACTGCTTGATATTTAAATCTAAAAAAAGATGTACTAGATCTTGCTTTAGATGTATCTCTACATACATCTAAAGCAAGATCAACCAAACAAACTTTTATCCACATTTTTACCCCCTTTATTGATGATTTCTGCAGTAAAATCTATCCTATGTTTTTTCCCGTATCTTGAACCACCTCTATACCAAATTTCAACTAAATAACAGTCAGACAGACATGCATACTTTCACATTTATAATATTAGTAAAAAAACGATTATAATTACGTTTGTTCGTCTAATTCAGCGAACTCCCTGACGTCCCGAAAGGTGTAAAGTTCGGGCATCAATACTCTCGCCGTGCATATTTTGTCTAGGCGCTCCTTACACCTTTCTACAGAGCCCTTTGCCCTTATGATGCTTCTTTCCAGATAGCCACGACCTGAAAAGTAAAAAAAAAGAGTTTTTACATTAAGTAAGTGGTACAAGTCAGACTTTTTGGCGGGAAAAATTGTGTTATGGCGGATGTTAGTATCTAATAATGGTGGATTATTAACCACTAAGTGTTCGGGAATATGCACAAGTGTTGGCAAGTGAAACAAAACAGCGGAAAGTGTCTTTCGACGTTCCCTCAAGAAGTCCACGGGGAGGTTCCAGTATATCCCCACACTTTTACTGAAACATAGGCATTTAGAAAAAATAAAAAAAAACGGAACATGTGGATAATAAACTCCATTTATATTTTTGATGTGTAACATCTTTGCTCTCGCTTTCCTGCAATTTGTGAGAGTGATTTCATGAAATGGGAGGGAAGTGTGTAACAGGAAGTCGCTATTTGATTTGATTTTAGAACATAATGTTCAAATGGCTCATTCTCATTCCTTTTGTAGAAGATTTTATTTCTTTTTTACTAATATAAGGTGGAGTTTCAAATATTACACATCATGCGCGACTACTGTAAGGCTCGCTCGTTTTTTTGGTGTATTCGGCGTATTTTTCTACACATAGATGCATGATAATTCTTGAGGTACGAAATTGGGCAGAGTTGTACGGAGAAGAGAATGGGACCTTTGACTATAGTTTATGCCACGTCAAATAGGTACGTAGTAGATCCAGTTTAGTTTTTGCTATATCTTTGTTTTGTGTAAGATAAAATTTCAAACATTTCATTTTCTGTTTAAGAAATATGGAAAAATACATTTATTTCGACCACAAAGATCATAGCATGATCATGACAAAATATTTGTTTATTAGGTTTTCACGCACATCACTTATTAGATAAAACTAGTATTTATGGGTTAGATGTACTGAATTTATTTATTTATTGACGTTTCGCATCCTTTACTAGTATTATTTAATTACAAAGTAATTATAAATAGTAATACTCATAATAAATAAAATACAGATTAAATAAATAATTAAGAAACAAATTCAATCAATGAAAAGGTTTTATTGATCTAAGAAAATGACGCCTTGAACACGAGGGAAGTTATGTTGCAGTAATGGAAGTTTAAGCATTTTTACAGTGTCAATGACGCCTCTGTACATATGTTTTTTTAAATATGACGGTAATTTGTCTGTGTGTGCCATTGAGCGCGTCGAGTGAACCCTATAGTAGCTTTTATTTAAAAAATGACGATTTAGACGCGACCAAGAGTCATGGTCCATTGTTGAAAATTTTTTGCCGCCCTATGACGTTCGCCGGCAGCACTCGGGTATGGTGGGTGTACTTCGCAAGGTGCAAGGTTGCCCCCCTTATGTTATTCTGCCGCGCTTTCTAATTTCTGCAGTAAAAACTATCCCATGTTTTATCCCGTATCTCGAACCACCTCTTCACCAAATTTCAACTAAATCGGTTCCGCGCCTTAGGCGTGAAGAGACAACAGTCAGACAGACATGCATGTGCTCGCTGTGCTCCCCTACTATAGTTCTTGCAACTGGATTTTGATTCATAAAATCTGTTTTGAAATTGTTTTACATAAATATAATTGATTTACCTTCTAAAAGATTAAGCGAAACCTGTTTGAAACCCGTTTGTGTATGTTTATCTTTTATCTTTGACACATACGATATCATTTCTAAATCTACATGGTGAATATTTTTTACAAACTACAAGGTCCATCTGTTGACCATCAAATACTGGATTTGATTTATGAATATTAATTACTAGATGTCATGGCAAACTTCGTACCACCATTTTCATTATTTTGATTTTGTTTTATTTTTGTATTAAGTATACATACCTTGTCCTGATACAAAAACACAAAAAAAGAATGAGAAATACTATTAGGTGCTTGTAAGTTACGCGCGAACATAATTTTAGAGCAAAGCAACTTAAATTTACATTTTGCTTTCAGATTATGGCATACGGACTGGGTATATTGACCTAGCAGTTAATAATTTACTGAATATAATATTTTCTATTTAATCCGGGCGAATGAACTGACCAATTATGCTACCGCGGCCATGAAGTCCGCGTCGAAATTCTTCTAGCCTTTCTTAAGCTGCAAGTTATATTTTCTAGTTATATTTTCGTTAGATTTAACATCAAACTAATAATCTAACTAACGAACATCAAGCAGTTACATGCTTAAAAAATATAAAAAGTTCATCTGTCAAATAAGAATTCTTTTTTTTTGTTCTGTTGCTGTTTCCTTTTTATACAGAAATTTCGCCAACGTCCCATAGTGAGAGAGACACGATATGAGAGAGATTGCTCGGTATTTATACAAATAAAGATTCAATATTTCATCCGAATAACCATTCTTCCTTAAGCTTTTCACTTTGTTCTTCTGAAAGCATAACACACACAGAGTCAACACAGGGTTATAATAATATATGAAATTTTGATAATTAAATCGATGGATCAAAAAATTCTTTAATTATTTAATCAACCTATGGTTTTTTAAATTGATGTTACGTTGCCATAACCTGTATTAGAATTATTCAAGTCTTTAACGTCATCACGAACCGGTAGTAGACGTCATTTCTTTTGATTAAGCGCTTTTTTTTTCAACTTCTGCTAATTAAACTAATGGTGACACTGAACTTGGAGTCAACATGATGGAGAAACATTGTTCATTGCCTTGTTTTTTGTCATCATCAGAGTTACAAACAACAAAGTGTCGAAATTACTTGATTTGAGTTTTTGATATCCGGTAATATATTTACTTGCCTTCACTTAGCTGCGGTGTAGATTGAAGTTTTTGCTCTTGAGCATATAACTTACTTTTGATATTAAAGGAGGTAAATTTGGAAAGGCACCGCGATACGTTTTTGCGTTAAAGGGTTGGCAAACAAGCATTATGGTCCGCCTGATGTTAAACCACCAGCATAGCCTATTCACGCTTGCGATACTAAAAATATTACCCACACCGTTGCCTACTTTAACTCAATCCGCTACCCCGTGGAGCCCTGGATGCTTACTCGCTGGCAAAACACAACACCACCAAAAGGTAGTGTTATTTCACTGTGGTACTCTCTGGTGGATGTTTCTTTCCTAGACGAGGCCTGTCTACAAAATGTTGAATAATTGCTATAAAAGTCACTAAGAACTTTAAACTCCCGGCAAAGTAGCGGCTAAGAAATACTCGTAGTTTGGTTACATTACGGATTCCAATAAATTATAGACGTGGCGCATTGTGCAGACACTGTTTTATAGTTAATTTTATGTAGAATCCAAATATTTATAGTTTGTGTAGGATATTCTTACAAAATAACAGAGAAATCGGCAAAACAATGCAATCGTTTCCACCCCGCGGGGGGCCCCATTAGGGAGTATGTCTCATGTACAAAGAACGGCGCATGACCTTTGCCACACGAGAGTGAAGAATGTGAAACTTTCTATAGAATATGGCAAACTTTAATCTTACAATCTAGCTTATCGTTGATACGCCATAATACAAAGCGGGAACGTAATACGTCTGAATCTACAATTCGCCTACACCATAGTTCCTACTAATATTATAAATCTTAAAGTTTGTATGTTTGTTACTCAATCACGCAAAACTGCTAAACGGATTTAGATGAAAGTTGCCACACATATAAATAATCGGCTGAATGGAGACATAAGATACTTTTTTTCCGAAAAAAAGTTAGGTTCTTGAGGGATTCTCAAAAAACTAAAATTAACGTAGACGAAGTCGCGGGCGGGTGCTAGTATAAATATTTCACCGCAAAAGTGACATGGGGTTAAAATGTGTAATTACTAAAGTGGACATGATTACACATATTCTAAAGGCGAAAGTTTGTGAGTGTTTGAATGTGTATGTTTGTTACTTTTCAATTAATATTGGGTCGATACCCAATATTAATTTAATTCTAAAGTTTATGTACAAAATTTATTAAAACTTTTCTTTTTTTATTATTGTAGATTCTAGTAAATAACTCCGCCCTACCAGATATTAAGTGACGGTGGAGTACAGATGGGAAAATAGCTGGTGCAGCATGGTTGGCCTTTTTGTTCATTTCAATCATTACGAGCTCTGAATGAAACTTCAAATTCTTTATTGCATAGTCAAATGGTTAAAAGATGACAATTTAGTAACATAATATATAGAACATGTGACACCCTGCAAGGGTGTTTGCAATTTATTTATACATAAACGTAATTAATAATATTTAATACAATTACATCAGTTGAACAAGTACAACTATTATATTAACTAGCGTTTTATACTAGTATTGATTATATTATTATTAATTTGTTACATTATTATTAATACTTATTATATTATAAAAAAATGTCATTAAAATATTCAGAACTATTATAGTAACTTTTATTTATTATAAACTTTTTAAGCTGTTTTTCAAATATTTTATTTTCAGTTGTACATTTTAAACTATTTGTTAGATGGTTGTATATTTTTATTAACATTGCATGCGGAGCAGACGAATATATCTTTAATGTCGTATTAGGTAATTTAAGTTTATTTTGGTATCGATTACTGCGTCTAACTTTTTTCACAGGTGAGTATAATTCATAATGTTTTTTCAAGTTTGTATTTTAAAATATTAAACCCGTTTTGGCTATATGATCATGGCCGTCTCGAGGTTAATTCGTATTTGTGAGAGTTTCAAAGTGCAGTTTATTACAACCTCGGTGTTAGATTAATAGAGGTACGGCATAGCGAAATTTTCGTTCTAATTGGAGCTCCCGTCTGGATATCCTTCATCTTATAAAAGACCAAAGTAAAATAATGGTACTGTAACGTTCGTTACGTTACAGCCTCCTTGTTTGGATAAACTCCTTGTTCATGTAATGCCTACGGCTGGCAGTTATATTAAAAAGCTAATGTCATGATTTTATTATTTGACATTTGGAATCGTCTGTCTTTTGATAGAAGATTCCACATCATATAGACTTCAGGCACCAAACCATACGTTAATAAGATTAAGCTCATATTTTATATTCGCCTGAAATCTAACAAAACCAATACAAAATCGAAGTTGTTTCAATAGAATGCTTCGCCCCCAGGATCTACCCCGATCTCAGGGTAGATCGCCGCAGTACCTTTTAGTACTGTCGATGAGTATTGTTTCTCCAAGAGGTAGAAGATTGGATCAGGGTAGGAAAAAGCGCGAGTGGTATTTTTGTATCGCAAGCTATGGTGGCCGCTTACGATCAGGCGGGAGTTTAAAACATAAAAAAAAAACAACTTACTAAAATCTTTCTTGGTGAAATGATCCTGTTTCTTCAGCCATAACTCCAGAATATCGATTGCTCTGTCTATGGCACCTGGTTTATCCAAGTCATACTCTTTTCTAACAACTTTCAAGGTGTCAGGAGGAAAGACCAATATAGGATCCTTGGGTAGACTATCCATAGTAGGTACTTATTGATTATCTTAAGGACTTTTTTCTTTTAATTTACTTTCGGAGACCACGTCCGGTATTTGTGTCAGCCCGCGATAGACTAAATTAATATAAAGATGGTAACTCTGAGATTTGTCAGCCGTATTATGATACAAGTTTTTTCAAGGTAATGTGTTAGGAAACAGTGTTTTAGTAGCCTCATGCACAGTAAATCATGTCAGAGTTGAACAGCCATAATTTAGTTACTTCATAGTTGTCGATTTAGACTGTGTTCGCTTACTGTTGTTAAATGTATTTTGATTAGATGTAAGTAGCTATAAAGAAGATTCATGGACGCTGACAATTTGCTTTGTCAGAAACGTTTGTGCCGTCATTGTTGATGTCATTAATGAGCAATATTACTTTTTTAGGGTTCCCTATCTCAAAAGAAAAACAGGTCACTTATGCAGTCATTTTGTTGTCCGTCTGTCTGGCCGTCCGTCAATCCCCATTGTAATGAGAATGCGTAGAGGTATCGAATGGAAATTCAAAACAATATTCTCAGGACTGCGATCCCTTGAAGTTGTGAAAAATCAAATAAAAAGTTAACGTATAAAAAAGATACGGGCGTTTATCTGGCTGTCTAACAAGACCCTTTATCTTGGGAACGTGTGGAGTTATCGAGTTTAAATTTTTACCATACACTAAGGTTTAAGGTTACGGACTTTTGAAGCTGTGAGAAAATTAAACTTCTGAATTAACGTAAAAAGGAGATGCGGCCGTTTATGTTGCGTACTGGTCGGCGCTGATCGTCTTTTTAAAAAAATCCCAAAATTCCCGGATGCGAATTTAATTGAATTTAGATACACAAATACATACGCTAAATCGAGTACCAAGTCCTGAGCTACCCGGATGGACCGTTCTTTCCCGTTGTCAAAGTCTAACTGCACTGTAGGAACTGATGAAATAATGTGAGGGCTGCGTTAATGCAACTCTGCAGTTTAATTCTATGGAAAATTACAGTATACACTTTATTGTTGAATAAGCATTCTTTGGTTGCTAAGTCGGGTTATAACAGTACCCACAAAGTACGGAACCCTCGGTGGCTGAATCCGACGCGCACTTGTCCATTTTTTCTATTAATGACAACTACTTATTGTTGCGGTCACCATCTTTTGCTTAATACCCTTTTTGGCAGTCTTTTTGTTGTTATTATGGTGTGTTTTGGATCTTATTCATCTTTTTTTTTTCAGAAGCTACCATAATTTTTTTTAAGTCGAAAGAAAAATCACAAGAATGATTGCAACTCAGTTTAGGTATCAGGCGAGAATCAAAGTAATGTTCTACTCTATCCGGACAAATGTACTAATCATTATGCTACAAAACGAGTCGATTTTTTTATAAGTTATCGTAAGCTGCAAGGCAGTGCAACATTTTCTTAGTGTAGGGAATGAAAACACCATATGAGATACCTACTTTTGCAAGTATCAAACATTCGAAAGAAGATGAAGCAATGTACTTTGATCCTATTATTTTGTGTTCAAGCCTACAACTGCTGTTTTTATAACTGTTTATCTAGAACCTACATTAAATCGAACTCCGTCTATACTGGAATCGAAACAACTTCCTTCATTATTCATTTTACTTTTGTTATCTTATTTACGAGATTTGCGTTAAAAGAAAAATAAAGTAATAAGATATATCTATAACCTAGATTTGAAAACATAATCGTACCTTTCTCATTAAAGACCACTAACATTTCAAACACTGTTTTATTAGGTACTAAAACTGAATTTACACACATTAACTCAGACTAACGACTGATGAATAAGAGTAGATGAATATATCATATAGTAGATTTTCCGCTGAAATTGGATCACCCGTTTTGGATAGAAACTCCATGTTACATAAGACCACAATGAAATAATATTATTATTTATTTGACAGTGTTATATTGCCACAAAATAGATATTACACTATGAAGTTTAAAATTTATAGGTACGTCATACACGCTTCTAGTTTGGCAATACGAAATTCAGGTAATTGCCCGACTTGCCTTCAGTCGGGCACGCTCTCTCGCCGTGGCTACACTTCGCTACAACGTGTAAATATTCAACGTTTTTTCAGACAAAAAGCCCTATGTGTGTTTAAGATAGTACACAAAATACATGGGAACTAGTAGTAACAAGAAAAACGTCTCATTTCATTCATACGCACAGTTTTAATCAGAATCATAATCTTTATTTGCTAAAAACACGGTATACAAGTATTGCATAAAGTAGACTGAGCGCGTGTTTTGCCATTTTTAAAATAGCATGCAAATACATATCTGGAACAAATTTGAAAAAAATAGATTAATTACTTATAACATTTTTCTATAGAATTAAGAATGTCAAAGTTACCTAATATTATGTCAATAAAATATACAATGTCAACATATTATTATAACAAAGTTTCTAAATGTCAGATAAAAAATAAAAAAAAAACATAATTATTATAGGATAAATTAAATCATGTCATTAATTTTTGTACTTGAAATAACTTTTTAGATCATATAAATTGTTTCCATTTAGCCATTTATATAGTTTATTTTTAAAGAAATGAATTTAAAAATATTTAGTGATTACTAATTTTGACAGTATCTGTCACCATTGACACGTGAAGGCTGAAGAGCGTAATTGATTTATGAACGAGAGTGAAAGAGACTACTTTAGTGCACTCTATTGGCGGCTGTTGCCACGGGAAATTGGGGCGGGGACTACTTGTGCCAGTTTAAAATGCAATAATGTTGGTGTATGACCTGTCTATATATTAAACGTCATTGATATTACTTATGGTAATCTCATGTATGCACTTCACTGTTCATACCTACTCGACGATAGTGGTAGGATTGTCAACTTGGCTGTGCACAGAAAACGTGGTAGCGAGACTCGTGCGAATCTAGTTATTAAATTTATTGTTGAGAATGAAACAGAAAGAATGGAAATAATAACTTAAATATTTCAATTTTAATGTTATATGAGGTACAAATTTAAAGAAATTACAATTCACCGTTTAATATTGAATTTAAAAACCATCCACAACAGTTAACATTACAATTTTCTGTTAGTCCAAACAAGTCTCAAACAGATGAAACCTGCGCCCGCAGTGGCCCCAATCGGTCCGAGATACCGAGTCTGCGAGCGGTGTAGTCGTGCGCGTAAAGGAAAATATAATTTAAGAATAGTAACCACAATATCACGAACCGTGTAAATTTATGGTCGCTCGCCTTCATTAGACAGGCGTCCATGTTTATCAAGTTTAGTAAAAACTTAATTAAAAAAAAAACTTAACCGCCATAGCAAATGTTACGATTGAAAGATATTTGCGTCTTTGGTTTGATTAGGCATACAATTTCGCCTGAATAGTAACCTCTTTATTTGGGTAAATTAATACATTAGGTACGTTTTCACTTTAACGTGCAGTTCTAAGAGTAAGTTTTTTATATTATAAGGGTGGCAAACATGCGTATGCCCACCTAATAGTAAGCGACCACTATAGTCTATAGACGCTTGTAAATAGATACCAAAATAATACTCTCAAACTCATTTATTCAGTCTAGGCTATTACAGTTTTTAGGGTAATTTTTGAGGTTGGTATAAGGGTCTTGTGAAAGTGAAACGCCACGCCATCGGTTCGTAAATCTACGGCGGGAGATCTTGCACAGAGAAGAATAGGAATAGGAAGAAAAGGAAGAAGGGCTATTTTTTTCTCCCTGTTTTGTTTCATACAGTGTCGTCAATTGAAAGATGACATGAAAAACTGAAAACATGTGTTGATGTCAACTTTCATCACATTAATACCATCACCATTGCCACCGCCTGTTTACAGACGACGGCGCCTTTAAGAGGCAGACCGCCGGATGGACCTCACACCTGACCCCTGCAAGTCTTACGGACCCCCCAGTGGCTGCCCACCGAGGACCCCGCAACTCTTACGGGCGCTTTACGGCATAATATCCGCTAAAAAAGTCCTGCGAATACCTTCTACACTGCTTAATGCGAAGCCGCGGGGTTCTTGTTTAGGGATTCTATCACGACTCCGCACCCAGCAGCTTTAAGGCCTCGCCGGGGCTTCAACGGCAGGGGTCTCCCGAGGTATTGCGGGGACCCAGCAGACGTGCGCAGGATGGCCCGCGCATGGGGGCTGAGTACGCGGCCTAGTGCCCACCGTACCGCCTTCCGTCCGCTACGGAGGGCCGCCGCCCCCCTTTGCAGGACAAAACTACGAGAGGGGCCACCGTTCCTGGGAGGGGGGAGCGGGAGGGGAAGCGTAGTTCTTCCCATCCCTCTCTCCTCTCCCGGTCGCCCACGTCTCCTCGCCCCTTCTCCTAGGAGAAGAGGGGGACCCCGTGGAGCCCAGGAACCTTACTCATCGGTAGAAACACAACATGACCAAAAGGTAGTGTAATTTTTACCGTGATCTTCTGTAAGGTGGAGGGTACTTCCCCAGACGAGCGCTCCAATTCGAGCGAAAAATCCACTACGCCCCACCCCTCTTTTCTCTTTTTCGTGAAATATAGCCTGGATTAGCTGATTTTCGGTATTTTTTTTGCAAATCTACCTATTAAATTAATAGTCATTTTTCAGAGGAGTGCAATGAAGTAAAACTGTTCTGTAATATAGGAGGAGCTCGATGGTGCGGGTGGTAAGCGCGTTCGGCTGCGATCGTTGAAGTAAAGTAACTTTCGCAGTGGTATCTCATAGGATGGGTGAACAAAAATCTTCTATCTCGAGTTATTCCGTGCTTCGGAAGGTACGTTTAATCGTTGGCCCTGGCTGCATCTGCAATCGTTAGCACCCGCCAATGCCGCCGCACTGGCTCCGCGTGGTTGGTCATGGCCCAATCTCCCTATTCCGTCCATAGGGAAGGTCTGTGCCCTAGCAGTGAGGACATTAATAGGCTGCTGATGATGATGATGATGATTCTGCAATATAACGCTCTTGCATCGAGTTAGGTGGCAGGCACTTGAAGAGATAAAAATGGGGTTAGGTACAGAAAGTGCATTACTGATACTTTTGACGCCCTAAGAAAGTGGCTATATTTCAATTCGAGCAATCGCTAACGCCAAGGACGAGTCTGGCCTTGCTCTATTAGGATTCTGTAAAATCATTTGTTTGTTTTCGTCACAACTTACAAAGTGCATATTATTATGAATCGTATTTTCAGTATTTGCTGTTTATTCACAGCATATGGGACATCATATAGCAAAATTTCACATTCTTAACTAATTTCGATTTTGAGATAGACTTCGTTAGAAAAATAGTCTAAAAATGTCAACCTTGACGACATGGAGGTAGTCAGGGTTCTGGACAAAAAAAAATTAAAATATTTTTGTTTTATATATTATATTCTAATCAACGAGATCTTAACAACTATGTGTCACATGCTGAGGTAAAAAGGAAAAAAATCGTCTTCTTTTTAAGTATGGACCCTTCATGAAAAATAATTTAATTGAATTTTTAACTTATAATCGGCTTTAGGCAAACATTCTTCATAAAATGCCAAAATATCAGTGCTGTAATTTATTCCGTTTACTATCTATAGACCCTTGACATACGGACAGAAGGACAGACAGAAAGACGAAAGAGTGACAGCAATAGGGTTCCGATTTTGCCCTGTGAGTACAGAATCCTAAAGCAAAAAACAAATGTACTTTAGAACTATATGTCTCAATTTAATCAAGTCCACTAAATCAAATGTTTAATTCTCATGGCATTTGCGATGTGCAATTTCATTGAATTTCAACTTTAAAGTTATCTTTCGATAGAATAAAATTATTGCTAATTGTCTAAGGCGCCTGGTGGCATCCCATAAAAAAAAGTTTTCAAAAGCTTGTAGTAAGTACAATCTGCTCAAAAGAATTAGCAATTGTTGTATCTTATTTAAGTTTTTACTTCAGTACCACACCGGCCTCGAAACCAAAAAAAGCCGGATAATTAATTATTATTTAACGATTAATTTCTTTGTTAGATTTTTTTTTCGTTTTAAACGAGATAAAAAGTGGTTAAAAGCACACTAACCTTTGCGTATAACTATGTGAGTACCTAAATAAGTAAGTGCTTGTTGCCTCATATTGTTCCGTTGGAAGGATATCTAAATACTTACTTTGTGAGTGGCGAAAGAGGTGGTCGTGTTTCATAAAGGATTTGCTAGAGTGATAAAGGTCAGTTTTTTGTTCCATATAACTGTTCTATAATACATTGTTTATTTTAACAGTGAATAATGTTAAAAAAGTTAAACATATTTCTTTTTGTTTTTCAAATAAGTAAGGATTTTTTTTTCAGAATTTTGTTTCTTTGAGTCTTAAGCCCACTTGCACCAAAGTATTTAATTCCAATTAAGGCTTAATTGTATTTTACACATCCTTCCCTCTTTGTTAATTGCTTAAAGTGGGAAAGAGAGGGAATGAAGTAAGATTCAAACATGATTAGCTTTGAAATTTGAAATATTTATTACGCAAAAAGAATAATAGGTACTTACACATATTTAAATTTAAGCAACAAATACTTAAATGAAAATTAAATTATTAAATTAGCTTTTAAATTTGAATTCAGAATCATGGCTCAAGTGCGCCTGAGATTTTTGTATTTGACAAGATTCTCATTTTATTCTGATTCGTTTATTTTATAGAACTACGGTTTAACTAGTTACTAATTCTCACCTAGTTTTCACCTTCCTTTTATTAAATCCATATGACCCATTCAATTCACATTAAGGCCGACCAGCGTCAGTAACTTTAAACTATATTTGCTGTTTCATGTTTCAGTAAAATTAAAATTGATTGTCCAAAATGTTTCTGTAAAGAGACATTAATAATTCACAATAATAATTCATAATTTAATTTATTATTAATTCACTTCGAAATTTTAACGTATTTTTATTTTGACTTTCGTGGGTTCTTACACCACAGATTACAGATACAGTACAGATTTAAACTTTGAAACCTATTATAGTGAAATTGTGAGAGTTATGACAACGTCTTTCTGTGGGTTAACCTAGACTCTTCCAAATAACATTATTCTGGAATGCTTTTCTCATGCAGTAAATAAAACTGCTCTCCATGGGGTAAAGGAATCAGTACGCCAAACACGAACTTTTTACAGATCCGTATTCGTATTGCCTACGTCAATTTTTCTATGGGAAATATGCAGCGCCCCTGTGCAGCGGTCGTAAGAACAATCTCGCTTTTTCCATAATAATTTTTGAAATGGCTATACGAATACTTTCTCGCTACTTGTTCGTGCTTAGGGTCAGTCGAAAAGCAGGTGCTACCTAGTTCTGTGCCGCATCAGCCATATTTGTAAATAGTTTCCATTCACATCTAAGATCGCATATGAAAGATAAAGTAGCAAATATTGCCAGGTGCTGTATTTAAAAAAAAACTGATGTTTCATAGATGGCGTTCGACGAGGGTAAACATCCTCTTTACCCTTACACCGAAGAAGAGAAACTGGAGATAAGGAAACAGCTGGGAATGAAAGAGACAACAATACAAGACGACATCGACGCAATCATGGATTGGTTTAAGAAACAGCCACAGTTAGTGGATGCTGGAATTAGTCAGTATATCATTTTATTAAATTTTTTATTTTGCGCATATAAATGCTTTTAATCTAAATAAAATTTTGCTACAAAATATTCCACTCGGTCCAGATTCAGACGGGATTCGAACCCACATCTTCCACTATCCGAGTGGGAGCGGATAGTATATATTATCAATAACTCTTCAATACAGTAAATTAAAAATAGCTTTAACTTGAAATTTACTTTTGATTCCAGTAACTTCTTGCGTTTATGATACGTTTCATAAGAACCTTTATATCCAAACAAAGTAAGCCAATTTTTAAAATTGTAGTCAAAATCATTAACAAAGTAATGTCCGTTTATACGTACTTCCGATAAAAACGAGATATTTCCATCATTTTAATTCAAATTTAATGTTAAGGCCGTATTACTTCATATAGTACGTGTAATTCTAAAGTCTTGTTTTAAATTCTTTCTTGTGTAAAACGATGACAATTTGTGATTGCAAACTACATGCCCGCGTTGTGGTAAGGGCAACCGTATCATTTAGATGTTTATGATATGACCCTAGAACTCCATTCTCATGTGAAACTTTGGCAACCCATAATTATGCTATGTCACAATCATGCCACTATTATTTCATGCACGCAATCTAAGATCCGACTCTAAAAGTCATTAAGAATTAAGACAGGGGCTTATCTACTACACCCTTTAAAATTATCCATTTATTATTATTTAGTACTAGTAGCTATTTTTTTTTATCGATTTCTTTATTGATCCTCTGCGAATTCGTTTAAGGCGTGAAGGTGCAATATAATTATCCAGTTGATGCATTTATATACCTAGGTCTGTCATCATTAATGGACCAATTTCCCTCTATGATCAACGTCGAAAATCGAAATACGTAACGTATTGTCATTGACCCATTGTTCGCTGGCCATATATTCAATGTGGAGATTACAATTAGTAAAAGTTAATGCACATCACGTGCGGCCGTGCGTGTGCACTGAATTTTTCACTATACGGATGGCTACTGCTTGAGTAATGTTACACAACCGATTAGACAACTGACCGACAGGCAGTTGTTTCTGTTCTATATTATATAGTTACTGGCTTGTGGATCGCGATTCGTCCACGTTAGTTTTGGAATTTCACTAATTGGACAGTATTTTTATAAATGAAGCAATTTTCTCAGTCTGATGATTCTTCTTATATAAGATCCTACCAATTACATGATTTGTTTAGTGTAATTACTAATTAGAGTTCCTACTAATTATAGCCATCCATCCTAATCTACGTCATTACCTAATGAAATATTGGAACCTCACTCGCAAACATAATCGAAACACCACTGTAAGGTAGTGATAGTTTGTTGTGGTCTACTGAAATGTTGTTTCTCTGAATTGAGCGGAAATTTTTGGCTACCCAAATTTGAAAATGATTTACATTGGTCTGGTTCATTAAGATGAGAGAGGCTAATGTAGCACGTAACTGTATCTCAGCTACCTTTGATCAACTAGACTCTAGGCTATATTTTAATCTTTTATAGAAAACATAATGAAACAATTTTGATTTTTCTTCATTGGAATGTGAAATACTAGTTAGAAAATTTATCTCGTTACCTTATAGTTTTATAGGCTAAAACATACTTAGGAAAGTACTAGAATAAATTTGACCAGACCGTATTCGTTTCAGGATGGATGCGGGATTTAAAAATTTAAGGGACCCTTACCCTGACTAAGGGTGGTGTAATGTGAGTTAGGGAGTAGGAGACCCGATCTAGGGCGATCGGCGATAATTGCTTGTCCCAGCTAGGGGCCTTTTGATTGGGCCCTTAAAATTGGATAGTGTAAATCCCGTTGGAAGTATAGCAGTACGATCAATTGTTTGCATAGCTAAGGACGTTACTTTTCCATCCTTTATATCTAGATCAAGTAGATTTTTTTTCTTGTAAATTCAAGCTGCTTCGATAAAAAAATATATAAACAATTTTCTTTAATTTTCAGCCAGGGCTATGGTGGAGCGTATCCTAATTATCGCTAAAGGTTCCCTTGAGAAGACGAAACAGAGAATAGATGCATTGTACAAACACCGCTCCCTCGCACCGGAGCTGATACAAAACAGGGAAAGGGAATTGTCGCCGCTTAGTGGTGACTTGTGGTCGTTTTAGTGAGTATTGTTTGAATATTGTTTCGTATTCAGTTTAGGAGACAGTTGGTGGTTAAGCTTAGGGTACATCAGAACACAAAAGGAATATAAGTACGTGTGGTTTCCTCTTTCTCATTCAGGCTATATGTCCAACTCCTTTACTCTTCAAGCCATACTACTGTGGAATGACCTTCCCGACTCCATTAGATGATCTCCTAATAAACTTATATTTAAAAGGAATGTTCACGCTCATCTGTTGCAAAACTTAAGATGAAGTGTCATTTTATTAATCACCATCTTGTATATATATATATATATATATGTATACTTTATATGTTTAAATATTAGTGTGTTATGTTTGTATGTATTATATTCTTTTATAGTATGTATTTATATATGTACCTATGTTAATTTGTATATATATTCGTATTTATCTTTATACCGCCGTTCGTGTTTTTCATTTTTCCCAAAGGTTGTCTGGGAGGGAATGTTTTTAGCATTAACTCCGCCTTTTCAACCAATTTTATGTATTTTGGTCAATAGTATAAAAAAAATGGGCTTTGCTTTGTTCATGTACTTCGTAATATTATTCGCGTATTATATCATATATTTATTAACTAACTCGTTTTCATCAGCCTAAGGTAATTGTCCTTCCGCCGATTAGGAAGCGGCTAATTATCGGCTATATTCTTGCTTAAGAAACGTACAATAGTTATTTATACATTCCGTGTATATAAAGGAGATGCATATATTAATAGCTGATCGCTGAATGTTCACACTGCAGGCGGAAACTCTCTCCACTAGTAAATCGCTGGCTCAGCGATGCTCGCTTGTCTCAAAATGCGCGTGCGCATTTTTGCCCGGGATTGTCTCCGCGAGCGAGTGGTGCGAATAATCACCGTCGTACCCGCACACTCAGCGATAAAATTATCGGAACTGCATACTCTCTTCACGCTGCTCGTCAACTCGTTTTTAGTTTCTAGCTCTTCTCGCTTCTCGTTGAACGTCGACGATGGGACAAGTGCCTAAGTAATGTTCGCACTACTGAGCCTTAAGATGGAGAAAGGTTAATAAGAATTGACATGCAGATACAATTGGGAGTTAGGTTAAACGTGACTTCCTACTGATTTAAAAAATGAAAACTTTTCGATTATGTTTATAAAAGTATAGCATACATACACTTGTCTGCAAAATTAAGTATCACACTTTTTATCCATCTTAAAATTCCAATAACTTTTTAAGTGCACAAGATATACTTTTGAAAAAAAAACTACTCGAAAAAGAACGAAAGAAGAAAGAAAGAAAGAAAAATCTTTATTTATTTATTGGCCTTAAATCACATGAATATAACAATAAGAAATTATATACCGATAAAAATAAAAACAAACAGAAAACAAAAAGAGTTTAATTTTGTACTACACTTTCAAAGAAAGCTGATAAAATTTGCTATAAAACGTTTTTTGTTTAAAACCTTAAAGTTCTATAGTTTTGAAAATATTAAAATTTTAGAAATGTGATACTCAGTTTTGCAAGACAGTGTATTACAAAAGTAAAAATCGTTCAATATATTGCTTAGACTTTTTTAATGCGTATATTTAGAAGTCTTTAAGAGTCGTCATGATCTAGTCCTCTTACCCCGTGGTAAGAGGACTAGATCATCTCAACTTAATAGTACTTAGTTTTCACTATCCGCATAGTGAAAACTAAGTACTATTAAGTTGAGTATCCTGTAAATATTAAAAGAACTTTATAACCCTCCTTAGAGTTTATCTATACATAATCGAACTTGGTTTGACCTGAATGTGACCTGAACTTTACTCATGCGTACCTACGTTTTATGTCTGCACGCGTGTTTCTCATAAATAATGCAATGTGTGTAACCGCACCAAGGTAAATACAACTGTTCTACTTTTTAGTACATAATTCATCGACAATCTCTCTATATTCAAAGGAAGAACGGAGAATACGTCTGTTGATAAGTTTTTTGCATAGACAGTAAAGTATATGCTGGTGAAGTATCAGGAAAATAAGCTAAGCCCCATGGCTTCACCAGCAAATTTCGTGGTGAAGCTAAAGCAGAATTCATCGTTATCCTATAATTTAATCATGCTTATACTTTTTCATTGCTGTAACCGTAAATACAACGTTCCAATACCTATAGTTAATCAAGCCTGTACAGTATAAAATTACCAATATTCTTCAATTGATTTTCGAACTTAGTTAATGGGTGCAAAGCTAAATCCGTACTAGAGTTTGTCTGATGTCTGTATGAACTTATATGTTATTTGCCTGGTGCACTTTACGTGTCTTGAAATATAAAAAATGTTTTAATAATTCTATATTCATTCAAAATAATTCATTAAAAGAAATAATTAGATCTTACCTGTTTATAAATAAATAATGTTTTCATAACTCTATATTCATTCAAAATATTTCATTGAAAATAATCATTATATCTTACCTGTTTATAAATTATATTAAAAAGAGATTGAATCTCTTCAGCTAGGCGTTATTCATTATATCTATTTGTGATAAATTGATAATACTTAGTGAAACAAGTAACCATAAATAGATAAGATTGTCGTTCGTATTATTCTATTTTTAAAGCGAAACTTTTATTACATCGCTGCAATTTTTTTCTTTCATTTTGTAAGGAAATTCCTTCAGAAACCAACAACTTATTTATTTAACCCCAAAGAAGCAGTTCTTATAATAATAATTAGAGACGATACGTCCGAACACTTCAGAATCCTCCCTGTCCACTCTCACTGCCCCGCCATGCATTACTATTAATTAATTTTAATTCTTTGATCGATAAACTACTTTTAAACTTTTTTTTTATTTATTTATTAGGACCACCAGGGAAAGTTACATTAAATCTTATTTTGAAACATTATAGTGATACATACAAAATGCAAAATTCTATTGAAGATAGCCACATCATGCTTAAGAGACAGTACGAACGGACTGAATTTTAATTAAATAAACAAACAGAAATTCAAACTGAAACCACATGTAAATAATGGAGTTTATGAACTATTGTTGCTTTGAAACTATAGACAATAGAAAACGAATATATATATTTATTCGATATAACAAACAACAAAAATAAAAATAAAGTTTGCCTACGCATCTCTCAATAACTCAGAAACTTAAGTCCTGAATCGTAGAAAATATCAACACTCTCACTCAGTTTGTTGTAAGCTTCGGGCAAGCGATACGATGCAGGGTGTGTTAATATGTTTGTGCGAGCGATTGGTTTGCTGAATGTTGGTACAGGATAGCGTGGTGGTTTACGGGGAAATCTAATCTTAATCTTACTGAGAAATTGTGGGCAATCAACTACATTTCTGACAACTTTAAATAAAAATGTGATATCCAAAATATTTCTCCTAGTGAGAAGACTGTCCATATTAAAATATTGAAGTCTTTGGCTGTAGTTGGTAGATTTTGTATTCAGCCTACTACTGAATGTGAGATGTCTAGTAAAGCGTTTCTGATTGCGTTCAATACGAAGCTGATGTATACTGTACTGAGGAGACCAAATAACTGAACAGTACTCTAGGGTGCTTCTAACAAAGCTGTTATATATCAAGACCTTTGTTGAGGGATTTCTGAATACTTTGGCATTTCTCATAATGAATCCTAGAGTTTTTGAGGCTCGAGCAATAATGTTATCTATATGTGGAGTAAATGTTAATTTAGAATCTATTATTACACCCAAATCTCGAATAGTATTTACCTCCTCTAATACAGTATCACTTACTTTATATTGTGACTCAAAATTGTGAGACTTGCGGGATAACTTTATATGATAACATTTATTAATATTGAGAGACATTTCATTCATCTTGCACCATTCCACTAAGCTATCAATGTCCGATTGTAGGAGTTTAGCGTGTTCATCACAGTGAATAACTTTTATTAGTTTATGATCATCTGCATATATAAAAACATCACTGTGCTTAATTACATCTACAACGTCATTAATGAAAACATTGAAGAACAATGGTCCTATATGAGAACCCTGAGGTATACCTGATGTGGATAAATATTGATTTGAACGGAAACCCTTCACAACCACGTACTGAGATCGATTATTTAAATATGTTTGCAACCATATCAATGAATATCAGAATGAATGAAGAACCGGTGAATCCATATTTTGAGAGCTTGTTTACTAATATTTTGTGACAAACTTTGTCAAATGCCTTGGAAAAGTCAGCATAGACAGCATCGCTTTGCAACTGTGAGTCCATATTGTTAACTATGAGATTGGTGAAAGTGATGAGATTTGTGCTGGTAGACCTAGATCTGAAGAATCCATGCTGGCGATCAGTTATAAGATGTTTTGTTTGGTCGTAAAGATGTGGATATATTACCGCTTCAAATATTTTTGGTATAACTAAAAAGATTGAGATTGGTCTATAATTAGCAATATTGTTTTTGTCACCGCTTTTGTAAATTGGTACAACCTTAGCAATTTTCCAAGATATAGGAAACCGACCAGAACTAAGAGATTTATTGAATATTATGTACAAAGGAAGAACGAGTGAATCTGCACATCGGTAAATGAAATAAGGAGGAATGTCATCAGGACCAGGGCTTTTTGTGCAATCAAGTCCTTTTAACCGAGTGCGGATGGACTCCATTGTAAGATGTAATTTTGAGATACTGCAAGATTCTGAGTTGTTATTAGTTAGAGACACCCTTGGGACATCATCACTTAGGTACTTTACTTTCGGTGGAATAAACGGAACTAAAGCTTTTTGCAAAAAGATTACAGATATCAGGCCCAGCAGATGCTGTTTGATTGTTATGAATCCTTTCAGTGGGATAGTGAGGACCTGACTTGCTTTTGTCTTTCATATAAGTCCAAAAATATTTTGGGTTGCTGCTGATGTTTAGTTTAATATTATGAATATATTTCTTATAACATCGAGTAGTCAATGCAGCACATCGTTTTCCCATTATTAACAGAGAAATGTGGTCAAGAGGATTTTTGTGGATTTTGTATTTGTTTACTAATCTACGTTTATCTTTCAAAAGTTTGATAAGGGTTTTTGGGAACCAATGAGGGTATTTATTATTGCTTTTTTTGCACCACGGAACGTATTTATTTATAATAGTATAAAGATGTCTATAAAAACATCAAGCATTTCATTGACATTATTACAAGAGTTTAGCTCGCCGAGCCAATCAATTTTATCTATTTCGTTTGTGATTGCTGCATAATCAGCCTTATAGTAATTATGTTTTAAAGTATCGTTACTACGAAGATTATTATTCTGGTTTGAAAAACATACATCAACTGAAATTGGAGGGTGATGGGGATCAACCTTTACGAGCGCATTAGCTAAGTTAGTTACGCTGATTCCGTCGTAATTACAAAAAACCAAGTCGAGCATTTTACCTTTGAAATTAGTTACACTATTGAACTGAGTGAAGTTATTAAGAGATGCAAAGTCTATAAGAGTTTGAGCAAGACTTGAGCCATTAAGGTTTGGAACTGAGTCTGTCGATACACAAGGCCAACTAATACGACTCAGGTTAAAATCACCAATAAGCATTTTATTATTTATAGGATTATTATCTACAATTTTATTAAAATTATTAATGAAAGATTCAAGACTATTTCTGTTGACTGGAGGTGGCAGGTAAACTGTGCAAAAGTAGTAAATCTTATTATCTAGTTTTAAACTGACCCACAGGTCTTCATTATTACTTTCAAATAATTGTAGACGATTGCTGTCTTATTTTTTGGAAATTGCTGCAAGAACTCCACCGCCATTCATAATTTCAATTACCTGATCTATTAAGAGAATGCCTATCACGTCTGTATACAACATAACGGTTATCAAATAGTTCTGAGTTGTTTACAGAGTCGATCAACCAAGTCTCTGTTAATATTATTATGTCATAATTAAAACACAGTAAATTACAATAAAAAAAAATGAGTTTTCATGCGTAAACCTCTTACATTTTGGTAATAGATGTTTAAACTAGTGAATTTTATAACAATATTTACCAATTGTTAATACGAAATTAAAAAGACTAACAAAAATAAAATATTAAAAAAAATAACAATTATACAATTTTTTCCAGCAATTCCATTGTTTTAATATAAATATATTCGGAGTCCTCATCTTTACGCAAGAAGATTTTACCCTGTTTTACCCATACAAATCTATATCCCTTTTCCTTGGCCTTCAGACGCGCTGCAGCATGTAGGGCTCGATTTACAGGGGAGAGGTGTTCTGCAACATAGATTGGTTGGTTCACTCCACCGAACCCAAGATGGCTTGAATTTAACTTTTCGCTTGCGTGGTTTTTATTATAGGTGCCAATTTAAGTATAATAGATCTAGGCCTTGGGTCATTGTTGTTACTCTTGGCTATACGAGTATATTGATGTACCTCGTTTTCATTTAAATCGCAAGAAATAGTTTGTGTTAATTAACTTATATTCTAAGTTTTTTTTGTATGTATATGTATATATTTATAAATATAAAATATATGTGTATTTGTTTGTGTATATTAATAGATTAAATTGACGCCGCCAATCTTCCACTTCCTTCTAATCCTCTCCATCCAAAGGTTGTCTGGAAGAGATCGCTTTTAGCTATAAGGCCGCCCATTGTGACACATAATTTAAATGGCTCTGTATTTAATGTAATGTTTTCTGTGGTGTACAATATAATGTTATGTATTGTATGATTGCATTACGGTAGGCAACATGATGCGAGTAATATATTTGATATCGCAAGCGTCTATAAGCTATGGTGGCCGCTTACCATCAGGCGGGCCATACGTTTCTTTGCCATCCTTTTAACATAAAAAAGTGAATATTAAATAAGTTATAAAAATACTAATTCTTGTTTCAGTCGCCAAGCCGCAATGCCAAAGTTATATAAAGGACACAGGATATCTGTCATCAAAATTGACAATCCAGATCCTAACAGCTTTTTTGTCGATGCACTGTTCAGAAACACATTTATGGTGAGTTTAAATCAGTGTCTATTTATTAACCTTGTCCCACTAATATTATATGTAATTTATATAAATGTTTGTATGTCTCAATCAAGCAGAACGGATTTGGATGAAATTTAGCACACGTGCAATTTAATACCTTGACTAGAACTAATGTTTTTTGTACCGGATAAATATTAGGTTGCTCTAACATTTAAAAATCTTTGTAACTTCCACCTCATGGAATAGATCAGCCAAATATTTAGTGTGAGTTATTCTTCGGAACTCATATAAAAAAGCTGCTATCACTGGTATTATCTACTCACTCTTAGCACCAGGGGGGTATAAAAATCTTTTTCTAAACAAGGTCCATCAATTTGCCACACCCTATTTGCAAATCCAGTTTATGAAAGAAGCTGATGCGTGTGTTATCGAAGAAGTGGGAAGTGTTTAAGAATGCATATGAAGCGGTCGGTCCTGGCCTGTGGCTGCATCTGCATCCTTCCGCCGTTTCCAAAACCATTTTCCGGAACCAGTTTCGAGAGAAGAATTTTTACTTCTTCTTTCGAAGCTGGTTTCGAAAAAGGAAAAATATTTTTGTTTCGAAACCGGTTGCTAAATGAGACTATGCTTTTCTTTTCGAAACCGGTACAAATTCCTTTGTTTTTGAAAAGAAAAAATCTGATAATAGAGGCGTAACGTTCCTTAGGCATCTTAATAATTGAACATTATAAAAGAACGTACCTATACTACATGACTATTTTTTATTTTTTTTAGCCGCACTACCTCAGTTATCTCCTATAGTATATGCCAAGACCTCTACCCCTCTAGATTTCACATAGTATTTTATAAATATGGTTTTAAATCAATTTATGCACATAGAAGTAAAAAAAAACTAATAAAATTGGTTCATACTAATCGTATCAATAATAACAAAAATCATAAAATATACAAGTATTTTTGATCTATTGTCACGTTACGTGACCGAACATTGAAACTTAAAAAAAAATATCAAATAGCCTAAGACTAAGTAACCAAGATGGTAGGTATTGCTCGATCAGTCACTCGGTGCATATCATTATGAAAGATGTTGAGTCGCAAGTTGCGGTCGCCAGCTACGGTAGGAGCGGATGTAAATCGCTCCGTGTGTTTTTAGCCTTAAGGTGGGCTTTCGTAGCGAGCGTCAGCAATGCCGCGACAGAGCGTCAGATAGAATTTCTATGCAAATGTCAATGTCAGCGTCGTCGGTCAAAGCGCCACTGACAATTTCATTTGCATAGAAATTCCATCTGACGCTCTGTCGCGGCGTCACTGACGCTCACTTCGAAATCTTACCTTTAGGGCCCGTGTGATAGGCTGTGCCCTTCTAGTCTATCTAAAGAGAAGGCCCGTACCGCAACAGTGGTAACATTAATAGATAATGATGAAATTTAAAAATGTAAATTCTTATACCTATTTAAATATTTCAGTTGGGCGATATAAGGTTGCAACACGACTACATGCTTGGTGAAATATGGGTTATAGACATACAGCATGCAGTCATAGGACATCTACTAAGGCTTAACCCGATCATAATGCACAAGACGGCCCAAATCTTCCAGGTAATCTTCCAAAATAATCATTTTTGTTGAATCCTCTCAAATGAGCTCCCTGCTGGTGTTTTTCCAAAAGAGAACTGTATGCGTTTTTGCAAAAGAGGTATGTAGTCTAGTATTGCAGGTATCCGACAGTAAGTGTGTTTGCTACCATTAGTTGTTAAAAAAAAGTTTATAAAACGTAATTGACAATGAGTTTTTTGTTTGTTACAGTTTTTTGCAAAACGAGTTTTAGCTATTTCTCATGCTTGTTTTTTATCCATATCCACAACTCATTATTATTTTTCATATTACTTTGTAATCCATTTTTTATGAAATTTGACCTCTTAAAAATAAGAGACCTGTTAAAACAAAAAACTACCAAATCATTTCAAACTCGTGATCATGAAGTAGACACCAGATCATTATTAAATAAAAACCGTAATATCTTTATGTATAAGTAAAACAAATCGTATCCTTGTGCTAAAATACTAACCACAAAGAACATTCAAATTATGATTGTTGATCACTGTTTCGGATCTCACAAAAAGTCAGGAGTCTTTTTAATTTAACTTGGTTCTCATTCCAATTGTTATTATTATGTTTATTGTTTGCGATACCAATGATAATGGTTTCCTGAGACTTTAAATATTGTGCGTTAGGGTGATGTTTGAAAGTAGCATCTGTGTTATGCTCTGGATCTGACCCCAAATGGGTTTTATATAAATTATTTGTTCCTCAACAGTAACTCGTCTCTTGCGCAATATGGTATGGTCTCTAAAGGAAAACAATATCGATCTTCCTTTATAACAGTTACGAATAAAACAAAAGAAAACGAAATCGGTATTCATGTCAGTTTTAGCAAACAGCGTATGAATTATCACGTACCCCATCGAGTGTGAAGAATGTCGCGGTGCGTGCACTAAAAACATTAATTGCTAACTTGGTAATAGGGACGAGCGTTGCATAAGTTGGGACGTACTTAGACAATGAAGAAAAATGAAAACATCTAAAGTACAATCACCAGAGAATATGTAGGCTTGAAGCGTTTCTAGGCACCACAAAAATGGTTTGTTATTACAAGCATACCTAGATTAAAGTACTTGTACTTACTTACTACTTACCCGTAATTATCACCATTTCTAGATCTTTTAGAGTTACTAAAACAAGACAAGGACTTACAAAAATCTAGTCCTTTTGTCACTGATTTGTAATAATTGGTCAGATAAAAGTCATAAAAAGTGAACACGAAGACTGCGTTAGACTTTTTATGACTTTTGTCTGACAAATTATAATAGTGTAAAATCTGTAAAATTCGTTTCGCAATGAGCGCCACTTATATTTATTAAGCAAACTTTATATTTATTATTCCAGGAAGGGCTCGGTCTGAGAGTAACAGCTATGCATGTATTGAATTGTCCAAGCTACGGGCAGACACTTATGAACGTAATGAAGCAGTTTTTCAAGCCTAAACTCCTGGATCGAACAATATTCCATAAAAGCTTGGAAGATTTGCACGAGTACATCCCGAAACAGTATCTGCCTTTAGACTATGGTGGCGATGAGCCTTCGTTGAAAGAATTCAAAGGTAAAGTAACTTAGCAAAAAAAATATTTTACTTAAATGAATAAAATAAGAGACTTTTTAGAATAAGTACCATAATTCATGGAAAAAATTACGCCCAATGCAAATGAAGTAAACATTGAGCATTTGATTCACTGAATACAAGCAGTATCAAGGCATCCTCGTCAAAATTGTTGCTTTTGTAGTAACAGCTTAGTCTTTTGTCATGCGTATTTTATATTTATCTTTCGTTTTAAGGCCTATTAGTAACTGACTGTAATATACAATAACAATAATAAACATATTTGTTTCTTGGGTTTTCACGCACATCACTCATTAAATAAAACTAGTTTTTAACGGGTTAATGCACGAAACTTTATTTATTTATTGACGTTTCGCAACGTCAATAAATAAAAACAGTTTCGTGCATTAACCCGTTAAAAACTAGTTTTAATTAATAATAAACAACTCATTCCTGGCGCATATTTCAAAAAGTCTAATTTCTGATAACGCAATTTAATTTTGTGCAATCTATAAAAGTTCAGTTGTTAAAATTTTTGTTCCAGAGATGTACGAGAAAGAATTCAAAACGGAAAGAACAAAGCGGTTCCTGGTGCAATGTAGTAAATTAATCTCAAATGAAAGCAAAAGGCCCGGTCAAATCTACGAGGAGCAAATGACCGGGTCCTTCAAGAAACTAGACCTTGATTGAGAAGAAATGTGCTCATTGCAGAAACAAAGAAACATCGGGACTAGGATGGGAATTACGCATTCAAAGACAGTGCTTGAATTTGGGGAAATCCTTAAGCATCGACAGGGTCAATGCATGCTTTATAAAGCAACGAATACCCATGACTAGGAAAATGACGCTATATTAAGTGGTATGGTTTATTAGCATATGACCGATATTTTTTAAGAATTGACAAAAAGTTTTTTTTAATAAATTAGGTTATATTGTTTCATAAATAACTGTTGTTGGCTGTTAATAATGTTTAGTTAAGTAAATAAGATTAATTTAGTGCAGAAGAAAAAGTTTTACGTGTGTACTTTGTAAAATATAGTTTTGTACCTACTTTTATACTCTTTCTTATACGTTTCAAGCTGTTTCAGCAATGCACAGTGTTTTATGGAACCAAAAAAATTTACATGTTCAGGTTCTTACATAAATAGATTATTTATACCCTAAAAAAGGCATGAGTTCAATTTACAGAAGTCTAACCCAAATACTTTTTGAGAAAAAAAATCATGAACTTATCGTGACCTTTGACCTATGAAATCTAGAATATTTTTTTATAAAGTGAATATTAACAATATATTTTTTTAATAAATATGTGTCAATCGGGCATAATCAGAGGCGTATAAACGCGTTTCTTTAGCTTAAAAAAATGCATTGGTTTGGGAGCAGCATTTTTTTTTTTGTATTTCGTATTTATTGTTTTTTCTCCCTAAAAACGAAAAAGTGGAACCTAGAACTTAGATAGAAATAAACCTACGGATGTGGTCTATCATACATAAATAAGCCACGTGTCAATTTTGCGGCGTTTAGAAGATATTAATTTTTAAATTTTTATGCTAGGGTTGACACCGAGTGTTTTATAGAACCAAAAATATTTACACCTTAAGGTTTTTGCATAAATCAATTATTTAAACCCTAATAAAGGCAAGAGTTCAATTCCCAGATCACTATTTTAAGTAAAAAAAAAGATATGAAGTAGCAAAGTTTTTGAAATTTGCGCATGAAAAAATTAACAATTTATTTTCCTCAAAAGACGCTTCCATATCTGTCCATGAGATATTTGCCACTTGCTAAGGAATTATTGATGGCATAATTTTGTAATTTTATTTTATTTATAAGTGTCCTAGTTTCCAAGATATACAGTTTTCTTAAATTTCGATTTTTAATTTTTTTTCTCCAAAAATCGGCAAAAGCGGAACCTGGATTTAGTACAGAAAGGTTCTATAAGTCAAGTTCTATCACCCATAAAAAAATCAAGTTTCACTTTTGCGGTTTTAAGAAGTTATGACAGTAACAGTTCATAAAATCCTCATGCACGGTGAAGAAATTATTGCGTCCAGTGCACTGCCCATCGGTATGCTATCTGAACAAGCAGCTGAGTCCCGAAATAAATTCTGGCGTTCAGACAGAGAGCATCATTGCCGAAAAATGAACAGGAGAACCACAATGACGGACCTCTTTCACCGTACCCTAAAATCATCAGACTCGTTTATTTCTATGGCAAATATCAGCCAACGTCGAAAATATTCTAAGCGATTTTCCTTGCCTTCAGCTGTTTGCGAGTTCTTACAACCAATTGATGCAGATCGATTGCCGTTATTCGAAGCAGAGGAAGATGCTGAAGATGAAGATTTTTCGAACGTCGCAAATGAAAGCAACCTAGAATTATTAAACGACGATGATTTATTTGTATAAAAGTTAAAGTAGAGGTGTTGCATAAAGAAGGTGCCGGCAGGTGATGACACTATCCTAGATTGATTTTAAATGTGAATGAATTTCTAAATCCAAAATTTCATCACAATCGTTAGATCCGTTTCCGAGAAACCAATTACATACCAATATATTTATATAGGTACATACAATAATTGCTCGTTTATAGTATAGGATGTGTGTTAAATTTTTTCAAACAACATAGTTTATTTTTTCGTTGCCATTTAGCGTGTAAAGCAAAATTAAAATGTGGTCGTCAAAATTAAAACATAAAGTATTCCTACATTATCACATCTACATTAGGTAGGTAGTATATGTAAGTATATTGTATTCGTCTATAAGTACAACACTTATTCAATTATAATATAATATAATTTATTCAATTGATTGACGGTATTAATAACAAAAAAAAAATACATTTTCATTTAACTCATAGTTGACCTTTGTGACAACCCTAGATCATGAAAGTTGACCTTTATCTAAATTCTGTCATAACTTCTTAAAACCGCAAAAGTGAAACTTGATTTTTTTATGGGTGATAGAACTTGGCTTATAGAACCTTTCTGTACTAAATCCAGGTTCCACTTTTGCCGATTTTTGGAGAAAAAAATTAAAAATCGAAATTTAAAAAAACTATATATCTTGGAAACTAGGACACTTATAAATAAAATAAAATTACAAAATTATGCCATCAATAAATCCTTAGCAATTGGCAAATATCTCATGGACAGATATGGAACCGTCTTTTGAGGAAATTAAATTGTTAATTTTTTCATGCGCAAATTTCAAAAACTTTGCTACTTCATATCTTTTTTTTTACTTAAAATAGTGATCTGGGAATTGAACTCTTGCCTTTATTAGGGTTTAAATAATTGATTTATGCAAAAACCTTAAGATGTAAATATTTTTGGTTCTATAAAACACCGTGCAATGTGGTAATTACAAATATCGCTTAAAAATGTATTTTTAAATATATTGGAGGTACCTCCGATGGCATCATTTTTGTATTTTTACAATATTTTTTTACAGAATCTGAAATATCTGAAAACTGTAAATTTTGAGTCATAGTAAAAATGCAATATTTCCTAAATAATGTATTGAGAATCAGGGTCACTTGCCCAGGTGGGAGAGCTAAACTTTGAAAATTGAATTTAAATTATAGTACAGAGGAGCTCGATGGCGCAAGTGGTTAGCGCTTTCGGCTGCGATCGTTGAACTTAAGCAACTTTCGCAGTGGTCGGTCATTGGATGGGTGACCAAAAATCACTATCTCGAGCTCCTCCGTGCTTCGGAAGGCACGTTAAGCCGTTGGTCCCGGCTGCATCTGCAGTCGTTAGCACCCACCAATCCGCACTGGGCCTGCGTGGTGGGTCATGGCCCAAATCTCCCTATTCCATCCATAGGGAAGGCCTGTGCCCCAGCAGTGGGAACATTAATAGGCTGATGATGATGATGATGACAGTCAATCTGTCGAATAAAAATCGTTTCAGTGAAAAAAAACCTAAAGGGTAAGTCTTGTTGTAAGAAAAATGCGTTTCAAAAAATTTTTGACGGTTTTTTGAGTGTTTCAAAAAACGCCTACGAGTTGAACATGCCCATCGCAAGGTGGCTTACTGACGTCATTTGGCAACAGAAAAAACAAGACTTACCTTTAGGTTTTTTTTTCACCACTCAACCTACAGATTGACTGTACTATTAAGCATAAACAAAATGTCTATTCGGTTATTGGTGATTCGGTTTATAAATACGATTAAGTAGCAGCCGCGGGCATTTTTAATATTTTTAAGCTTAGATTAAAACGAAAAGGGTAGATACGATACGCTCATACTTGCATCAAACAAAAACTGATCCTACGACAGCGCGAACGGGACGGCGAGATCCGCGTCACTGCATTACCGACCCGAACGAAACAGCACGTTAAGTTTCAACGGCAGCGCAAACGAGACGGCGAGATCCGCGTTACTGCACTACCGACCAATCACGCGACCAGTACTTGACGTCACTACCGAATAAGATTCAAAACAAACAGCAATTTTTATGAAAAAATATATTTTATAGTACTTACGAATGAAAAGTGATGCCGTGGGTTTTATTTTTAGATCTTGAGCAATTTGAGCACTTTTTAAAAACACACTTAGGCATTGTTTTATCATATAAACACAAAATATTAGCAATATTTCTTTTTGGCGTTCACATGTACGTTGTTTGCATGTCAAGTTGTGACTAAAGCGATTAGGGTCGTGGACCACAATTTAGGCGGATCACTTTTGTGAGGCCAGTGCCGTATCTACCCTTTTTGTTTTAATCTAAGTTTTTAAGCCGCATCTGCATAGCAATAATTCAGGCAATGCGTCGTGACTGAAAGTTGCATCAAATATCGAGCCGTCAGCAACGTCTCAGCGTGAGTCGCTCAGATGCAAGATGTAAGCTTTACCTAAGGCTGCTTCTAACGAGAATGCGACTCGAGCCACAATTTAATAACATCTTGCTACTCAGTCAACAAAAGTAACAGGTCATAGAGGACTACTGTGTTTGTTTACAAACTTTTTAAAGTAATGTTTCCAATGAGAAACGTTTCTCCTAGCAAAAATGGCACAACCACAATTGAAATAAATTCTTTTTTCATGTGTTGACAACAATTTCTTACCTTAATAGTTTTATTTCGAGTTCCTACTGTAAGTAATATTGTTATATTACAGCCAGAACTTGAAATAAAACTTAAAGTTAACCTACCAGTAACAGCCCCTTAGAGATTATGGTCACTTTCAACATAAGGTGCTTGTACTTCATGACTCCTGTCTTTATGTCTTATGTTTTCACGCACACCAATCACTGTAATCACGAAACTGAACAGTCTTCAATATACTTACTTGCGTCCACTAAACCTGTGAAGGATCCGAGTCGTAAAACAATCAACCAAAAGTTTATCACGCTTTATACCCGTTCAAAACGTGTTTTATTAAATTAAATAAATTCGCGCAACGTTCTATCGATAGCCATAATTTGAAGTTACAGTTTACTATAATTAAATACTCAAGTGTGGTTACAAATTACCACGGACACCGTAAAAAGAACACGTGCGAAACAGAAATAACCTTAATTCACGCTGCAAATAAACAGGCGAGTTTCATTTTGGGATAAGGAATATGTTTATTTTTCCGTTTGACGTTGACAAAGGGGATCTCTCCTGTGACTGAGTGCTGTCGTTTGGATTTGTTACATCGGAAATGTTTCAAGAAAATTGATGTTTTTAAACACCCCTGATGTTTTGTGTTTGTGTATCTTTGTGGTGTTACTTGGTGTGCCTATATAATAATTGATTCGGGCCCGTTGTCCAATCTCAAATACGATAAGGTTGTATCAGCACTCTTAGACCCTCTCGTACAAAAGTTTATAAATCAAATTTAAAAGCTAATCATGTTTAAGGCTTATTCC